GGTCAATCACGATCACCCTTCCAAAGTTCACCGAGGTCTGCGCGAGCAAAAACAAGGGGTCAGCATCCACAGCGACTCATCCCGGCAAAAGCGCAACAAAGGTTGCAGTCGGCGGGCCGACAAGTGGCACGCACTGCAAAAAAGCTGCTTGCCCTTTTCTGCCCCCAAGCCTCCGCGAAGCCCATGTAAGCATCCGCAACCTTCAGGACACAGCAACATCCGAGCAAGCGCCGCTGCATTCAACAAAGGACAGCATGCAGCTTCGCCGACGCAAGTCACTTCAGTGTCTCTGCCAAGTAGCAATGATCGCCAATGTCTGCACGAAGGGTAGAAGCCTCCGGCACATCACAAAGACTTTATTTGACTTCCGTGCCTCAAATGCGATTCTTCTCAAAGTGCGAACCACGTCCCTTCGCCTCGACTTGCCCACCCGATTCTCCGCAGCAAGCATAAGTCTGAGCATCACGGGATAGCTCCTTACAGGCCGCTTCTCTGCCAAGCTCACACGTGCTTTCCTTTCCACCCCTCTCAACGTAAGGACACAGTCAGAGAGTCCAGCTGTTTGATGTCAGTACGCCCGTAAACATCTGACACACACGCCATGCAAAGCGATGGCAAGACATATGTAGCTTCGTTGGCACATTGCCAAGGCTCGTTGGATAGACGAAGAAAACACCTGGCCGGATGCAAGAAAACGTGTCAATTACGTGTCGCTTGAGCAGTCCAAGAGGCCTCTCAAAAAGAGCTAAAGAGGTCAACCTTCCTGCTGCGGACTTAGGAACAACATTGAGCCTAGCAATGAGGGCTCCACCCTTGCTTGCTGCTTGGGACATTGGAAACCCCCATGGGTCAGGCTGAAGCATGTCACACCCCGCATCTGAGCAATGGGGTTCCAGCTGAGTGCAAGCTGGCCAGAGCCTGCCGCCCTAAGACAAAACGCGGCTGTTCTGGGTGGCAAGAAGCACTTCAGTCTCTCAATGCGGCGAGAGTTGAGTGGCAAAATCGGAATAAATGAACAAACGCTCTCGCAGCGGCGCCTACCAACCATGCCAAAAGGTTCGTGCCCATCTGTTCTGGTGGAACTGCTCCTCGCGGCAAGGCATCAAAAGATAGGTTGGTAAATACGCAATATCACAAGTGCAAGGATCACAAAGAAGGCCTGTCCGTCTGTGTCTTGGTGTGTCTGCATGCATGCACGTATGCATGTGTGTGTGTGTACCTAAGTATGTGAGCATGTAAATATGCAAGTATATCATGCACGCACGCACGCACGCACGCAGGCACACACACACACACACACGCACGCACTCACTCACTCACTCACCCACCCACCCACCCACTCACTCACTCACTCACGGAGGGAGGGAGGAAGGGAGAGAGGGAGGGAGGGATGGAGCCACTAGCTTCTAGCCTCTCATCTCATGCACCGCCCCAACTTGGTGACTTAAATTGGTGTGCTGGTGTGTTCCCAGTTAGCTTCCCATGGAACTGCAACTCCTCCAATCCGAGGTAACCAACGAAGGGTGGGCTACCTCATGAAGGGGAAACACTGCCGGCGAAAGCAACAGCAGTGGGAATCCAAAATCTTACCTTTGCGCTCTCAAGCTGCACCCCCGCAGCAACAAAAAGCACTGCGGCGGCGGCGGCAGTTGAAGCGCTCTTCAGACAAATCCTCTTTGCAAGCATCTCCACCCCTTAACCCCCCCCCCCCACGCATGTGACGCAGCAAAAGCACGCGTCCGAGAAAGATGCAACAGCGGGTGGTGGCAAACCAGTCCAGCCGGACAAATTCAGGAATGCAAACAGCAAAGCGTGCCTCTGAGCCATGTGACGGCGTGTCAGGAATGGACGAGTGCGCAGATTGCTGGACACCTCATTGTTGCCAGTTTCAATTGGGGAAGCAAAATCTCGTCACCCACTTCCCCTGCTGACAAAGCTCAAGCAAAGCCAAAGAAGGGAAGCTGGCTTCGCGCTGAAAGCGACCAGTCCTGGCCCCAACTCCTCCGTGGCTGCAACATAGCATTCGATCCCATCACAACCTGAGGCGGAAGCCAGTTTCGTTTTTGATTCTCCGGGGGCGCGGAGAAGCCACCAGCACCAACCAAGGCGCCGAAGATATTCGCAGCCGAGGAGAAAGCAACAGGCAAGAAGATAAGGAGACAAAGCCTGGCTGACTCACATGGCCCAAAACCCATGCTGAAAGCCTTGCTTTGCACCCAATCAGCCTCGCTCCACAGCCCAATCGCGCCTGTACCTGATGTGATGTTCACTGGCGCCAACTACCTTTTGCTCCACAATCTTCGCCAAATCCTTGCCTCAGAGTTCAGGCTGCCGGCGCTACGACTCGCTTCGACTCGCGTTGCTGTGTATGGTGAGCCCGTTTGCAGCGAGCGGCGGACAAAGCTGTTGAACGCCTGAATAGGTTCAGGATAATCTCCTGGGCCCGCGTCAAAATGTCGACACCGAGCCCTCAACACAAAGCCCTCAACACAAGATACTCGCGGCAACCGAGCACAAGAAAGCGGAATACACTGGGAAGCCAACGAAGAAAAACAAATCGCGACCGAAGGTCGGTGGGGACTAAACACTTTGTGCCACTCGACCATTGCCAAGCTTCGATACAACTTCCCCACTAATGCCAGCACCTGTTCCCGATCAGATTCCACAGCGCACTTCGTGCCCTCAGTCGCACAAGTCACAGGCCCAGGCGCAAACGTGAGCCCTCTCAGACTCTCACGTTGGATATCGGCAGTTTTGGCCGGGGCATGCTTAATACTTGACACTGAGCATCCAGGAAGCCACAGGTTGAAACAGTAAAGTTGTCAAAACCTAGGAAGGTTCTGCAGTGCGGGACCTGGACCTAAGAAACCATCTTGGTGGGAAGCCGGACCTCCATCTCACAAACAAAGCTCACAGCGAAGCAAAAGTTGCGGATCCGCTAGTTCCTCCTGTAGAGAGGTTAGAATAACCCTCCCCCAAAAAAGTTGGTAAAGGGCACTACAGGGGGACCTAGTCCAGCTGGCCGTTCCTTTGGAGCCATTAGGGGTCATGCGGCCTTGAACCCCATGGAAAGCCCTGTGTCAGCATCAAACTCTCCCCAGCAGAATGGCCAGCGCTGCGCAAGGCAGATTCTAAGCGCTCCCCCCGTTGGCTCGCCTTAATGTGGTGTTACAAGGGGAGCTTATGGCAGGGTTGGAAGCGCCTGGCTCTCAGACGGGGTGAGGCAATGCCAGGGTGCCTCTGGGGGAAATGTCTCCCGCGCAAATTCTGGCAGCATTGGCAAGAGGGGTCCAAAGTGCCAACCCTGGCTTTCAGAGCTTCCAAATGTCCCGCCCACCATGGTAGTGCGGGAACCCCTGAAAATCGGCCTCCCTTGAAGACAGCCCCAGAGATACAAATAGACATACCCAGAGCTGAGGCTGACATACATCTGAGGGCAGGGCATTGAGGTCGAATCTCCGGAGGATCCTTCGCATCAACCTGTCGAAGTCTCCAAATGGATCGCGGAAACCAAAATGTGGTTCGCCTCTGGTGTCCTTGCAACCCGAAAAGTGACACAACTAAATGGCCTGTCTTTCTTGCGGGGGCGGTTTTCTGCGGGTGTCAAAGTTGGCTTTGGACGAGGGCGGGAAATCTGCGTTTGGCCAGCAAACCTCACACTCCATTCAGCGGCACCGGCCTGTGGTTGTTCATCTTCGACTTCATAGCATAGTAACCTTAGCAAAAAACAAAAGACTCGTTTGGCTGCAGCGCGCCGCAAAACCAGGGGAGCTGCAAGTGCAACGCTCCAAGCTGAGAAGGCTGCTCAGGTTCAGGGGAACGTCAAAACTGAACCGAAACATACATATATATATATATATATGTGTGTGATACCATGATATCTATACATTAATGCATGTTCATATAGTTATATACAAAAGCACACACACACACATATATATATATATATACAAATATATATATATATATATATAAACATAGATGTATATATATATATATATACAATTTGTCCAGGGCTTCCACAGAGCACAACTGTGGCACAACTGCAGTGTCGAGTTTCGAGCTCCGATGCGCCCTTTGCTGGCATTTGCAGCCGCGACCTGTGGCCTTCTGGGAGAAAACTCCGGCACTCCCCGTGCCCCCGTCCGATACCTCGATCCGGGTGGCTCAGCGGCACCGTGGGCAATGCCCCCAGCCAAAATCCCACGCCGATGCCCCAGAACCTCAGCTGGGGTCTGATTTCTGGGGCAGGTCAACGATCTCGGATGAGCTTGGGAGGAAGATGTTTGATGCTAGCGATGCGTGCACTCACCAGCTACATGCCACAAAGCATCATGTTTTCCTCTGATTTACAAACCTGCCTTGAAGTGTGGCACTTGTCGCGATTTATCTAGGTACCTTCCCCATTCTTTCCAGGGATCCTTCTTTTCAGGAAACCATAAAAAAAAACAAGGGAAACAGCCTGTTTTGGAAAAGACGATGGTTGAGAAAAATGGAAAAGGAATCAACATAATCAACCCCTAGAATTTAGCTACCCGGATGCCATTGCCCTGGTCGAGCATCTGCGCCACCAGCGGCACAAAATTCTCCGGCACCAGCCTCACGTGCCGGCTAACGGCGGGAGTGAGGGGCGGGAGTGAGGCGCGACTTCGCGGCTTGCGGGAAGCGAGGCCGAGGGCGAAAGCCATGGGGTGTAGTCCGAAAAGCTTCGGGGAATTTCGGCTTACTACATTCCGCTGGCACCCGAGAAGTCTTGAAGACAACTCTTGGCATCGCACGGTGCAACAAGAATTCCCTTCTCTCCAATCCCTCGCCGTCGCCGAATGGAATGGGCTGTGAGCGGCTCGGCAGGCAACCCAACGCCGCCCAAGCCGGGAGCCAACGGCGAACCAAGAAGCTGGGCTTCACTCAAATAGGCTCCCGTGGATCCAATCCTCAGCTGAGTCAAGCGGATCCATTCAAAGCCTTCATGGCACTGCGTCATTTAGAGTCCAAAGTGCTCAGATAAGAACAGCGCATTCTTCCAGCAACACCCTGTTGCCTGCAACCCTGAGAAAGTTGCTTGCCGACCGCATCCAGTTTGACTCCCTGCCAAGAGGCAAACTGAACAGCCGCTCTGAGATAGAAATGCATAGCAACTGGGTCAGGATTGTAGAAAGAACCCACGGGGCTACCCACAACGGTACCTCAGGCACAGAAAGCGAGCATCTGTCTTTCCGATGCAGGCCACAAGCACACGGCTGTTTGAGAGCTTTCTTGGACCTTGACAAGACCTTGCATGACAGCTTCGGCCGGGCTGCGAATTCCACTTCGGTGGGGCCGCCCTTGCTTGAACAGAAGATGGCAACTTCGGCACAGCACCAAAGTCTGTCGAAGTATTCGGGATCCCACAGCATAATCATCTTGTCAGAGGTGGCCACGATTTCCTAGGGGCGAACACGGGGAAGTGCACAGGAAGCCTTGAGCCATGGCGATCCAAGATTCAGGGAGCGCATTGACACCGCTCTCTTTCAGCTTGGCCCGCGTTTGGTGGATGCCTGGCCAAAGGCTGGTGTGGAGATGCCTCAACCAAGCAGTTTGCCGAGATGCAGAGCTTGTCCACCCACATGTCATGCGCCGGGCAGTACACGAGGTGCCCCCAGAACACACAAAGAAAGAAGATGATCGTTGGGACCCACACCTCGAAGGCAAACAGCTCATGACTCTCAACTCAAAGTCTGCCTCATGCCTCTGCGGAGGAAAACCGTCTCTGCATAAGACCCGCACAAACAAGCCCGCGAGGAATGACCTGCCGCCCATACCAAAGAGGCCATAGGAAGTGACGGCCCCGAGTATCAGGACGAGCCAGGACAAGGTTGCCTGATAGAGCTTGATTGCCAAGACAGCCGACAGCTCGCTCTGCAAGACGCTCGAAACAGTGCCGGCCAAGCAGCCGTCACCACAGCAAAGGTTACATTCCTGGGGATGCATGGGGGCTCAGGCGTTTAGGGAACCGTGTCAGTGTTTCTGGGATTTGCCTCTTGCAGACCAGCGTCAGGCTGTAGCAAAGTGCCAAGAACTTTCGCCAGCGCGCCGAGTTCCACACATGGCCTTGACATTCGCAGCAAACGAAACGAAGCAGCGCTCAAAACGCATTGGTTTTGGGTGCGTAGGCCTCACTGCAATCCTACTTAAACCAGGTGGAACTCTGTCATGGCCAGGGGTTTTGGGTGCTGCCAGCCACGCAACTGACTCACAGCGATTTCTGTGCAGCTATGCAGCTGACAAAGGTGCCCACACCTCACGCGGTCCGCAGGAATTTCAAGGGCCAGCGCCTCTATTTTTGGCGAAGGGACATGCCCAAACCTCAAAGCTCCAGCTCTTTCGGCGCGACTTGGGCATAAGCAAAACAAGTACAGCCCCAGTGGAAGCCTGGCTGCGAGAAAACCCCGCCAAGCGGCGGAAGGTCGGCTTGGAGGCCTCATACACCCTGTCCGCCACTTCATGCTCACGGGAGTTGCTCGGAGATAGCAGCGACCTAGGGAAACCAACCCGCATCCCACCCCCTGCAGGGAGAAAAAACCTCGGCCCCAAAAAGGGGCCGAGCAGGCCCACGAAAGCGCGGCTTCCCCCTAAAAAAAGAGGAACTGCGTTCAAAGCCTCAGGCACGTGCTACTTGCAGCCCTGACGGGTCCGATGCAAAGAATCCGAAAGAAAAAATGCCCCCAGAACATTTGATGCCAAGCTTCTCCTTCAGGTCATCGGGGCTGTGCCATGGCACCTGGGGAAAAGCAGATGACCAGCGTCGCCAGCGTCAAGCTCCCAGTGAGAACAAAAAAATACGGCTGGCCACAAAGAACCCGTTGGGACTTGACAAGGGGATTGAAGCGCCGCTTGCCTTTGCCCTTACAACACCCCAAGCCCCCAATCTTGCCAAGGCACATGCGTCCAGGAAGTGTTGTTGCTGAATACCTGCAGGAGCCACGCGCCGATGCAGCAAGGGGGCCCCACGGGCCTCTTTCCACCCCCTCCCCCCACGCCGCTTCCAACGATGGAAGCACGAATGTTGAAATGCTACCAAAGGCCATGGTGTTCAGGTTGAAAAGTTCACACATGTGTTGTCTGAAGCTTCTGTGAGCCGGAAAGCCGTCTCCCTGCAGGTCCTCAACGGGCCCATTATAGTGACACCTTTCTGAGATGAGCCTCATTTTTGCGTGGTTGAAAGGGCGTCCCTTCCAAACGTTAACTTTGGCGACCCAAAGAGTAGCAAAGCTCCTTGTGAAAGGCTCCATCGTCAGAGTGTTTGGGACCCAAAAGGCAGGCACATCGGTTGAAACCAAGGGACTGAAACCAGGGTGTAGCCCATGTGTTTGAGTTGCTGAACTTGTTGCTTCTCGAGTTGGGGAATGACAAGTAGACACAATCCAGGCTTCCTTGCTGGAATCCCCGCTGACTTGAGGCGATGCTTCGACCAGCAAGCTTCGCAGGATACCTGCGAGAGCCTTGGGGAACCAACCCGCTAAAACGATGATATATGGGTGTGGCTCAAAATTCAAGAGCTAGGGTTACGCAGGTTTTAGTCTTTGGTTCCATGTACCAAGGGGGCCATTTTGGTACATGTATTTGAGCCACAGCCATATGTCAACCACTCATGGGGAAAGTTGGCCTTGGTCACCCTCGACCATCCCCACATCCGACCCCCTGTCCAGCCTGCGCGAAGCCCATGAGAACCCGCGAGGGGGGCACCACCCTAAGGATGCCTGGCAGAGGCCGGCGTGCAGAGAAGGGAAGCCAAGCAAACAAATCCCAGGGCACAAGTTTTGAGCTTGCGCTTAAGGCTCTGATTCAAGGCAATTTTTAAGAGGTCGGGTTGTTTTGGTGCTATTCTTTTCAGAGCACCTCTTTGGAGCTAAGGAACTGCAAACGGAAGACTCTGCCCATTTTGGCGGCCTTTGACACACACCAGCATACCCATGGGGGGGGGGGGGGGGAAGCTCTGCCGGCTTCAGGAATGCACCGGTGGGAAAAGTCGAAAATGAATCACATTGACCCACCTGATCACAGCAGATTTCCATTCGGTGTGTTCTGTTTTGGCTGCAGGCTTACTCACTTCGACGCACCAAAAATCGCCTATCGCCCCACGCAATCTCCGCTTTGAGATGTGAGCATGCAAATCTCCCCGCCCGAAGCCCGATACTGCCGAGGGTTCATCCTTTCCACTTTTGCCAGGCCCACCCTGGACAAGCAACCCAACTTCAATGCGCACTGGCGCAAGCAGTTCGCCACAAGCGGCGCTGCGCAAGCCCAATACAGGCACACCAGCGCAGGGCAAGTCGCTGCGCAGGCATTGCCATGCAAGATATGCTGTGTAGGCCACACAGTGCGAGCCAAAGCGCCCTTGTCGCGTAGCTTTTGGGAGAGACAAACATGACCGGGTATCCTCACCATGGTCGGCTACAACCCTTGAGTTGACCATCCCCTCAAATAGAGGAGCGCAATCTTGAGGAAGAAAGCCGATGTTACAGGAAAATTGGTGGACCAGAGTCTTCGAAACTTTGAAGCCCTGATTCTTGTAGAGTGTTGAAACCCTCCAAATCACCAGGCTCCAAACACATCCAAACCAAAGAAAGGTCCATGGCACGCAACCGAACTTCCCACGGCCACCTCGTCAAACATCGTTATCCCTGGCCTTGCGCAGCGGCCTTGCTGGTGGGCATCCGCATCACCGCGGGACTGCTTCCTGTCTCCTCCGGGGCTTTCCAAAGCTTCTGCACTCGGGCGACCAGAGCCTCATGGCTCGCACTGAGACACTTCTAAGGGTTTTTGCAATACTGGGTATTCACCCCATTTAGGCACATTTCCGGATAAAGCCGTGTTATTTTGAACCATTCTGGGTCATTTCCCAAGGGTGTAATCCCCGGCTGTATACCAAAAACCCTCAGAGACGAGACACTTGCTTTTGACACCAGCTTCAATAATTTGAACTCGTGGACTAGTGGGCAGTCAACCCTTTGCAACCCTGTGACATGTTGCCATGTTCCGCGCAGCGCGGCGCAGCTCGAAAAGAACTTCTCACGGCTTATCGCGCCACCTGCCCCAAGGCTTTCGGAACGGCAGGCGTCGTACAAAGTGGACAGGCTGGACGTGCTCGCTTGCGCGCGTCTGTCTGCTCTAGGATCTTTCTCGCACGTGGGCGCAAATCAGTGAATCAGGTGCCTTGCACGTGGCGGCAAGGAGGCAAGCTCTTGGCCTTTCAGCTGCCAAACAACTCACAAAGCACAACTAGGTGCTCCAGTAGAGAGGCTAGAATCTCTCTCCCTTTTTTTCTGTAGTCCTTGTATTTTAGTAGGGGAACCCTCCCCCCAAAAGGGTTAAAAGGGCACTACTGGGGGACCTAGACAAGGACCTTGAGGGAGTGCTCAAAACAGCTCGGCGAGAAGGCACGCCTTTCCGCCCGAAGCCACAGAAGCAGCCTCGGAACTTGTGGATCTCAAAAGACCTTCCGACACACGAATCGTTAGCCTCTGGGCTCCTCATCGACCGACACCTCTCGGGAGAAGTCGCTGGAGTTGGACGGTGAGGGTTGGACCTCGCTCAGCGCACTCGTCGTAGGCACTGAGCCCAAGCTGAAGCTCCAATGGTGGCATTGGGGTATGATTCTTAGGGGATCTTTGGTGGATTTTGATGGACATGATGGTTGGAGAGTTGGATTTATGTCCGCCACCATTTTTTGAGAGTGCTCCAACCATTGACACAATCCGCCACATACCCTCCTTAAATTCGCCACCGAGATGCGTGGGAATCGAGCGGCTTTGTCTCCATGTCCGCCCTCACCGCAGGATCACTTAGGACCCGCATCCGCTTTGAGCATGGCACTGCGGTCTACAGACACGAGGCTCAGCGACACAGGAGCCTTTGCTGGCATGCCCGTGTCCCAAATGAGCTCGGACCTGACTCGCCCCAGAGGGACTCCATGACTAGTTGCCCCCGTGCAACTAATTACCCGCAATTGGACACTGGAATCAAAGGGACCCTCTCATTGCCAGGGATGGCTTTTGGGGGGCTAAAAGGGCTCGAAGTACCTCCCTAGAAGCTCTGGGATTCAGACTCCTCACGGCTCAAGGGTCGCAACTGAATGGAGATCTCCTAAAGAATCATTCTTCCCTGACTGGGGCGCACATATGGCAAGCAAGCCGCACCCAAACGTCCCCTGCCTGGCTGGAGTCCTCCGTGTTTTCGTCGCCCTCCAAAGCTCAGCTTACAAATGGACGCCAATCAAACGGGCGCCGCTTTTGAGGAAGGTCAGGAAACCCGCTTACTTGTTGGATTTCCTGAAAGATGTATTTGAAACATGTTGCTGCTCTTTCTCTAAGACAACACTCAAATGGAGCGGCCCTCTCCAAGCTGTTCACGGTCAGTTGCCCAACCCCAGTCCAAGATACTGTTGAAACCCCAACTGCGGCCGTCGTTTGACCCAGTAAAAGCCTTGCGACATTTGAACAGCCCTCTCCAAAACCCAGCACTTCGAGGTGCCCCAGAACTGCCTCAACCATCTGGACGACCGCATGCGCCATGCTTTGACATCATTTTTGTGGCCTTGTGACTTGGGTCGCTCATGCACGTCCTAACTGAATTAAATGTCTGCCGTGTCAGCCGCAATGAAGCTCTGAACGCGGCCCAAACGTTTCACGCGGTTGACTCGGAGAAAACCAAAAGCCTGGGCCCGGAATCTGGCCGCGAATCAATCGGAGGCTTCCCATCATATGGGGGCCTGCCCTCAGTTCGGATTCTCGTGTTCAGGGTTGGGCCAATCCGTTGTACAACACATGCTACACTCCTTTTAATTACCACCTGTCGGTTCTCCAAGGGGATAAGCGTTTGGCTTTGAATTCTGCCCAACCCTGGGACACCCAGGCTTTCCTCAGAAACTCGCGCCAGGGCTGCAAGAGTCGCACCATGGGTTGCGCTGAACCGCCTCGCTGTGATGTCTGGTCTCCACTCACACTTGACACTTGCCATGAAAGCAGGCAAGCGAGCAAGCGAGCAAAGCAAAGCAAAGCAAAGCAAAGCAAAGCAAAGCAAAGCAAGCAAGCAAGCACGAGCAAGCACAAGCAAGCACAAGCAAGCAAGCAGGCGAGAAACCGAGCAGGCGGGCAGGCAGGCAGGCAGGCAGGCAGGCAAGCAAGCAAAGATCAAACACATTACATTGATTGCAGTACATTCAGTTGCGTACTTACGTTACATACACACATAAGCAACATAACATAACCTGATATACCATACCATACCATACCAACATACTTACATCCATACATTCCCTACATGCATACATGCATGCATGCGTTCGTACATGCATACACACATACGTACATACATACATGCATACACACGATACATTACATACGTTACATACATGACATACATACATACATACATACATGCAGTAATACATACATACATACATACCATAACATAACATTGCGTCACATTACATTACATTACATTACATTATGTACATACATACATTGCATTGCATTGCATTGCATTACATTACATCACAGTACATTACATTACATTACGTAGATACATACATACATTACATACCATTACATTACATTACATTCCATTCCATTACATTACATTACATTACATTACATACAAACATTGCATTACATTACATTACATTACATTACATTACATACATACATTACGTACATACACACAGTACATTACATTACATTACATTGCATTACATTACATTACATTACATTACATTACATACATACATTACATTACATTACAGTACATTACAGTACATTACATTACATTACATTAATACATACGTACATACATACATACATACATATATACATACATGCATACATACATACACTACATTACATTACATTCCATTACATTACATTACATTACATCGCATGATATTACATTACATTACATTGCATACATACGTACGTACGTATCGTGCATACATGCATATACACATACAAAACACAACACAACATAATATACCATACCGTACCTTACCAACATACTTCCATACATACACTACATACAAACATACATACATACAGACATACAAACATACACACATACATACATACATACATACATACGTACGTACATACATACATACATACATACATACATACATACATACATACATTACATACATACATACATACATACATACATACATACATACATACATACATACATACATACATACATACATACATACATACATACATACATACATACATACATACATACATACATACATACATACATACATACATACATACATACATACATACATACATACATACATACATACATACATACATACATACATACATACATACATACATACATACATACATACATACATACATACATACATACATACATTACATACATACATACATACATTACATACATACATACATACATACATGCATGCATACATATTACATATTACATACTACACGTACATACATACATACACATTACATTACATTACATTACATACATACATACATACATACATACATACATACATACATACATACATACATACATACATACATACATACATACATTACATACATTACATACATTACATACATTACATACATTACATACATTACATACATTACATACATTACATACATTACATACAATTCATACATTACATACATTACATACATTACATACATTACATACATTACATACACATCTCATACACATTACATACATTGCATACATTACATATTTACATACACACATACATTCATACGTGCATTACATGACATTACATTACATTAGATTACATTACATTACATTGCGTTGCATCGATACATACATTACATTACATAACACAACACAACATAACATAATTAATATAACATAACATGACATATAACATAACTAACATACATGCATTACATTACATGCATTACATTACATTACATTACATTACATTACATTACATTACATTACATTACATTGCATTACATTACATTACATTACATACATCCATACATACATACCTTGCATTGCATTACACTAATCACATCACACTACGCTACATTACATACACACACACAGACAAACATGATACACACGTTGCATTGCATTGCATTGCATTGCATTGCATTGTATTGCATTGCATTGCATTACAGCACCTGCCTGCCTGCCTGCCTGCCTGCCTGCCTGCCTGCCTACATTAGGATACCTTCCATTGCATTGACATTTATGTTTACATGGACATGGGCATTGCTTCACTTACGCCACACTAATTTGCACTTATAGAGGGGGAGAGGGAAACAAACAGAGAGAGCGAGAGGGCGAGAGGTGTTAGCACATGCAAACGCCGTAGGTGTTCTTTGTTTTAAACACCCTTTACACACCCACATACATACATGAACATATTCATTCACGTTTATGAACCAAATACATTCCTTGGATGTTTGCTGCGACGGGCGTTCAGCCAAAAGGCCGTACATGCCAAATGTGGCGGTCGCCTCGTGAGCACTTGGGAACCGAAGGCACATCAGGACCTGGGGAGTCATACGCAAAAAACACCGCATGCAAAAGATCTACCCGAAAGAAGGTAACTCCAAAAGGCCGGGACTGTTTTGCGACTGCTCCAGTTTTTTGTTTTTTTTTCTCCGGGAGGCTCCAGGCTTCTGGCTAACTTAATTGCCCCATCCCTTCCAGCTATGAATAAATGGGCCCTCTCAATCCAGTCCCAGCAACGTTTCGTAGGTTGATAGGTAGGGGTTTGCCAAATTCAATTGTTCAGAAGTGACTCGTAAGTTCAACCTAGCCCAGAAGGGCTGACGGGCTCAGATACCTACGATCGTTGAACAGCATCTCCCCTCAAAACCGTGAAGCATCATCCCTTTCTTTCTATCGGTGAATGGGTTACATTCACTTTCTGAAGCCCAAGAATGCAAAGCAAAATCGCGGACGTGGTTGTCTTCCTCCGTTCGTCCCCAGGTGTTGTCCCTAATTGAACGTGCAATCACATACACCTCTGCATGTCCTCCGGCCGTGGCTCGCGAGCATGCACTCTAATTCTCCCTTCCGGGCAGAAGGGGCAAGCGGCAAACAGGTCTGAAGGGCCGCTCGACACATGGCGGCCACAGAGTGCGCCAGGCTCAAAACTCGTTGTGCGCGCCGCGCGCTTCGGGCAATCCTTGTGCTTCCTCTTGGAATTCCCTACAAGGCTGACGACCACCCCATTACTCCCACTGGGTGTTTTGAACCTAGCACATGTCTGCAGCTGTTTGGCAGAATCGCTGCCGAGCAGGGGCGCGCCGTTTTTCGCTCCCTGCTAAAGAAGATCTTCGGCACACGCCAATTCAATCCGAAGCTCCAGGGTTGTTGGGAGGCTCCGTCCGTATAGGATGAATACTGCTTCTCCCAAAAACCCTCACATGCAGCACGGGCAGACAAAAAGCCTTGAGCTGACGTTTGTCAACTAGCGGCCACCCGTGCGACCATTCTGAAGCAACCTCAGCGCAAAAGACCCATGCCGTCCCGTAAAAAGGCGCTGCCCAGTGGCACCGGCACCTGAAATTCCATCCCAAAAGGAAACTGGAGCTGCACCTGAAATTCCAGTCCCCCCCCCTCCGTCCATGTTTGAGTGGGGGGGGATGTCATCAGAATGGCAGCCAATGGCACTCACGGAACTCCGCCCCGAGCAAAGAAGAAAGAGAAATCGGAGGGCAAGGATCACGGGAACCCGGGTCGATCTTCACAATTCACAGTTGCCCCTCAGTTCCCGGTCAAAAAAAAACAAGAAAGAAAAAGGATCTCCTACTTGGATCCCAACACCGCGCCCCGCCTGTGCAAAACCTTAGGCCAAGGGGCAGCCAACTGAAGCGTCGGCCCTTGCCACCGCTGCGCCGCTCCTTCTCCTGCCCAAGTGAGCCGCGGTCAATCAGAACCGCTATTGCCGAGTCATGGTCAGCTGCGACATGTACGTACCCCATGTATCAAAGACAAGTGGTATTCACCATTGCCCAGGTGCTGTCTGGATGAGTTTGGACTTGCGTATGTCCAATAGCTGACTTGGAAGCGGAACACTTCAGTCCCCATTCAGAATGCTTGGCGTCCTACTGTGGATGGACGGAATTCATTTCGCACCACCTAAGAAACCCTGGTTTCTGTTGAGTCCACTGTAAATACCAAGCAATAATGGTTTCCAGTGGTTTCAATCCGGCGAAATGGATTTCGCATCCATCCACGGTATGGCCAGGGACCTCAACTCCGAGGAGCTCCTCTCGCGCTGCCTGCCGCCATGTGGTGAAGCAATGCTTCCTGGGCCGCCCACAAGCTCACAAACACGTCGCCTGGCTGACGCGTCAGCCACTCAAGTCATGGCTGAATATCTTCATGGCTGGCGCAAACATCTTCTGGGGCCAAAGATCTCTGAGGGGCAGAACCAAACAACCTTCGGCCTTAAGCTCGCTGCCGCTGTAAGGGCCTTGGAGGCCTTCGGAGTTGCTACTGCTACCCAAGGCGCCAGGTGTTCTCGCTGACATCCCACCTTAGGCCGCAGAACTCCCAAGGCCTCTCACCTCCCAGGCTTGCAAAGACCTCCGGCGTAGCTTTGTACTTTTGGGACCCAGGTGTCCAACTTCCCCGCGGGAAACCAAGAAACAAAAAAAACGGATCCCGCCAAAGAAATCGATCCTCTTGATCCAAGCCGCAACATCTTGAATCGGCTGGCGGCTTCCGCCTGCGCCCCAAAATGGCCCCAAGAGAACCACGGTGCTCGCGGTTCCGCGGGGTCAATGGCGCAAATTCGGAGTTGCAGTGAAAAGAGGCCCTGCCTCCGATGACTACATTCACCGTGCTGAATTAATCAGAGGGCTGGGGCGCAGCGACGTCTAAAGGAAGTTAAAGCAGGAGTAGTTTAAGGAGCTGCGCTCTTGCCAGGAGAAGCCTAGATCAGCCCGGTACAGGCTGGTTAAGGCCTTCATTTAAGGAATCCAGAGCCAAGGAATCTATGAAGGGACCTTTCGTGATGAGCCCGAGCTCACTTTACATCAAGGTGAGTTTTCCAGCATAGGCGCTGGAGAATGCGGGGATTGGCCTCTGAGCAACTCCCTGGCCTGAAGGGTTCCCCATCCCAGCTAAATATCCCAAGAAGCGGACACCTTTTGGCGAAGTCTCTCCTACAGATCTTTCACTTCGCCAAAAAAGCTTGAGAACCGATCTGTCGCCCTGCCCGAATGGTCCTTTCCGCCTCTTCCCCGAAGCCGAAGGCACGGTGCAGGCAGGTTTCGATCTGCGCGTAAGTGCCCCACCTCGGACATATGAATGGGGAGCATGTTGATGTTGACGGGTATCTTAGGCGGGGTTCTGCGATACTATTGAACCAAATTTCTTCATGATCATGGGAGAGTTGTGTGTGCAACCATCTGGCCCCTCATGAGACGCTCCTCTTCCATGTTCGCCCGCAAAAAGGGACGGTATCGCCAGACTTAAGCACCAGCCCTTCCCAACATCTCCAGGGTCACCCCCTCCCCCAATTCCATTTTTGCGGGGGTACTGTGGATGGACGCAACCCATTTTGCACCACCTCAGAGACCCTGGAAGGATGATGCCCCTGTAAATGCCAACAAAGAATGGTTTCCCATGGTTTCCAAGTGGTGCAGGATTTTGTCCATCCACAGTAGGGATCCCTTAAAAATAAGCTGCAATGAACGCCCATGGGATTGGCGCCCAAACCCATCAGCCAAGCTGCAGGTCGTCCACCTCTGCGCCGCCCCCGCAGTCCTTGTGCTCTGCGAGTTTTGCTGGTCCCCCCTCGCCTGGTTTTCTGGAAAGGGAAAACTGGTCCTAGAAAACGCGGGCGGCCAGAAGATGTGCAACATGTGTGTGAGTCTGGCTGGCTAAAGGAAAACCATCGCTGAAACGGTTGGTCCAGGGAAGGCTGGGGCCAGTGGAATGAAAAATCAAACTCCCCAACTGGGACAAAATGCGAGGGGGACATGGTGCTGTACTGCGGCTGGGGATATCTCCGTAGCTTACAGCTGGTGTTCCCAAAGAGTTTCTGGCTCGAACACAGGGAGCTTGAAAAGCACATGCTGGACAAAAGCTTCAAGCCGATCGTGATCGTTTCAAAGAAGCGTCCAACTGACGCGGCGCTGGCAACCACATGGGGCTGCTCATGCAAAACGTCCCCACCGCAAATTCCCCTATGGGGTTGCAGGTCAGCCTTACCTCAAGCTTGGAGAGTTTTTTCGTGCCTATCACCTGGCGCGAGCCGGTTCTGACAATCACAGAAGTACCACTGAAGCAACACAGCTTGTTTGTATGCACGCATGCAACCAGCTCCTTTGGAACCGAGGGCCAGCCGAACGATTCGACTCCCTGACTCCCTCCTGCACAGCCATAGTCGTGAAAATCCGCGCGTAGGCCTGCATCGAACCTGAGCTGTCATTTTGGGATGGGAGTCCTGAAAAAAAAGGCCCAGCGAGCTACGAATGGTCACTGGTTAGAACCCTGTGGGCATTTACATCGAGGGGATTTGTGTAGCCACCGGTAGGGACCCCGCCCGAAAAACTTCGGCGCGGCTTGGCCGGCGTATGCCCAGTCAAGCAGCTCAGGCCCTCCATTGGGAAACCCTCCCATGGAAGTGGGCAGGACCACCATCCAATTCTAAAGCCGGCCTGTTCGCATGCATGGGCCTCACTAGTCGGCCAAGGCTTGATAGATCGGCGGCTTTTTCCGTGCGAGCTCCAAAAGCTTAGCTTTGCCCAGCGGCTGAGGATTCGAGACTGTGAGATGATGTTGTGGAAATCTGCCGCGTTCAGCGCCTCAGAAACTACGGTTGTGCCGGGCCAACGGTGAGAATGGCGTTTGCGCAAGCCTTGGCACGCTCCAATGCCGTCTGAGTGGCCATGAACTCGCACCGCAAGGAACCTTAGCTACAACCACACGCACCAAGCACATTGCAATCAGTCCTAGCAACAATGCCCCGGGCTGCGTTCAACTGGCGAAGAATCACATCTGCCGCAGAAGGCGCCCCGAAAATCCCACTTTGGTCTGACCTTTGCACCCCCCCCGAGCTGTCAAACCGCAAGCGCCAGCGCTCTTTCCTAGGAGCCAATGCTCTTCTCATCCCGATCCGCCAACATCCGGAGGTACTGCGTCGTGGCGACGGTAAGGCGGCCTTGGCAAACCCCCCGCCTGATAGTCGAGGGACTTGCCCACCAAAGTCCATGGGTTATGCTGCACCATGTGCTCGAAGTGGGGAACCTCCTTTTGCGACGTGTGAAATGCAATCCCGAAAAAAATCAACCGTCACACCTCCACGGATACATGTTTTCGAGGTCTTAGTGGCTCTGCGCGTTTCAGTGGAGCCTTGAGACGCCTTGCTGAGAGCCCGGCCTCGGTGCTCCCATTTGCACCTCAGACAGCCGTGCCATGCGCAAGCCCTGTGGCCTTGAAGAGCGCCTCGGGCCTTGGGGGGAAGAAGGCTGACGAAGCGGAGGCCGGGCATACGAAGCGCAGGCACGCGCCAGATCATGTACAATGTCGACCCCAGAAATCAAGCCAGTGAATCGGGCGGTGTCTCCGGGTGAAGTGGTTGAAATCATCACGTTGTTGAGGGGAAGACCCCCATATTTCTCTCTGGGGTTGAAACATTTGCCATCTGTGTTTTTTGTGTTTTGTTTTTTTTTGGCTGCCACTTAGGGAACAGCGGGCCTGTGACCCCGTCTCACCGTCTCACGCGCGACTCGCTCCCAGCCGGGCGGCCACAAGGCTGGCTCGCACATCCACCGCCCCGCCGAAACCAGCTTCGGCAGCTTGTCGTCGTAGCCGGAGAAGTAGGTCAGCGTGCCAGAGACCGTGAAATACATCTTCGTGCCTAAGAATTTGGCCCTGCCCCCAAGCGGAAAAGAAGGGCTGCTACGGTAGCCCAACAACAATCAAGTTTGCTTTATGCGGCCCCAGACTAAAAATGAACAGAACCAAACAAAACAAAACAAACTGCCAAGAAGAGTCATGTCTTGCTAGCTGAGCAGCCCAAAGCGCCATATCGGAACAGCTCCTGCCCGGGACAGAGCGAAATTTGGGGGATTGCGCTGGGGGACCTTCTTCACGTTTGCCGCTGGACTCTGGCGACTCAAAACGTGGGCCTTCTGTTTTGGCACTACTGACCCAGGAAAAGGCTAAACTAGGTCCTCCAGTAGAGAGGTTAGAATAAGGGTACCCTTTTTCTCTGTAGTCTACTTTAGTCGCCCCCAAAAAAGCAACGGTAAAAGGGCACTACTGGGGGACATAGGTCAGTAAACCTTTGGGTGAGTTTGATGGGGGGGGCAAAAACATTGCGAGATTCGGATCACATTTGGACTCACACAACCTCCAAATGCGAAAAAAATACGAGCGGTCCACACCTCGCCGATGACGAGGCTGCACTCCTCAGCTCGCCGAGCTTGTTACGTGTGTTGGACCCGCAACCAGGGCAAGACCTGATGAGATAACAAAATGGTGAGCCCATTCCCCCCCCCCCCCAAAAAAAAAAAAAAAAACATAATTACTGTGGGCGGACAAAATCCTGCACCACTTTGAAATTATGGAAAACCATTGTTCCTTGGTATTTGCAGGGGAATCATATCATTTCAGGGTTCCTTAAGTGGTGCGGAATGGATTTAGCAAACCAGCCACAGCATGTTTGGTCAACCTCTCTATCGAAAAGAACCAGGATCTCAGAGCAGCCCTTGGCAGCTTGTCTAAACTTCAATCAAAGGTTCAGGGTTCATTTCATGACGGGTGATGTTCACCCATAACAGATAGCCTGAATACTTTTCAGGGGGTCTCTGGAAGATAGAAGTCCAACCACCAAAACAAAGAATGCCCTATCATGCCGTGCATCCTACTTCGTTCAACTGGCACGGGCATAAGCTCTGGGCATCTGACACCACCCCCAAAAGGCCAAGTCGTTTTCCGCTCTCAGAAGAAAAAGAAGAAGAAAAACAAACGCGGACACACTTGCAAGCTCTTGCAGATTCTTGCCTTGCCGAGCTTCGGACATGGCCAAATGGCAAATGCCCATGAGTGTAAAGTCCTGGCGACGGGTCATTCAGAAATGGCTGTGTGTCAAAACCAATGGTACCATTTTGGGGTAGGCGTACCACCCATTTTAGCTATTTTAGTGGGGATTGGAATGTTCACTGGGAATACGGGATTTTGACCCATGGCCAAATGTTGTCATAACATGCGGTGCAGTTTTGGCCAGGTCCTCTGTTGCATGCAAGTGGTCAAACAGCGGATGCACCGAAATGACCTTGGAAAGCAAGCGTCGCAAGTATCCAGCCACATCCTTGCCACAGTGCGTTCTCTCTACCAATTGTCCATTTGTTCCAGCGCGTGTGCTCAGTGGAAACTCCCTTCGGTCTGAAGCAGCCGTCAAAGGAAATCCAATGAACGTCAAGAGCGTTGCCCTATTCAGGACCGTTCTCGTGTCCATTCTTGAGGCTCCCCCTTTTTTTGGGAGCCTGACTCGGAAATTTGGGGAATCAAAACCTCGGGGTTCCCTGAGAGGACACCCGCCAAAGAGGTGCGGAGGAACCTCCAAAGCCCCCAGTCTCAGGCCGGCACCGGCCCGTAGACCTCCACATGGAGTCGTTGAAGTAGGTCCTGCGGTGCATGCGGTCCAGGTGTTTTGTTTTTGTGTTTTGTTTTTTTTGTGTTTTTGTTTTGTTTTTTTGTGTTTTCCTTTTCTTAAAACAAAAAAGGCACCCCTTGATATCCCACTCTCAAGAGCTGACACTCCCAGATGGGATGTTTCTTGTTGTTGGAGGCTACCCTTTCAGGTTGGCTTTGATTGACACACCCGTACTGTGGATGGACAAAATCCGTTTCGGACCGGTTAAGTTGGTAGGTGCTGTATGCCATGATTTGTAGGGTTTCATCTATCCCGAGTGGTGCGGGATTTCGTCCATATGCCATACAGTATGGGATGTCTTTTTTGGAGGGTGTTTTTTCCAGGTTGCTTCAAAGGGAAACCAAATGGCAAGCTTTTGTTTAGCGACTATGGCTAATCAGCGAACGCCGCAGAGCATGGACCCGGATTGATCAACCTCTGGATAATTCTGATCAGGGGGTCCCCTATGATTAACATTCTGCAAAGGTGGATTACTCTGTCTGCCTTCTACCGGTTCTCCCCGGCATGTTCAGTAAGACCCTCCGAGACATCTAGTGCCATCTAGTGCCACAAGGGAAGGCCCAAAAACCAATTCCACCCTGGCTGCCCGAATGCCAGCAGGCTGCACAAAGCATTTTGCATGAGGTGCAGCTCTAGTCTCTGGCTTCCTGGGCTGACTCTTAGAATGCTTTGGCCACTTTACACATCCCTGCTCCCAAACTGGAAAAAGAAAAACGGGGAGGGGGTTGCCGTCATATAAATTCTGTAGCCACAAGTTGCCAATGTGTGGGCGCCTCAGGGCAAACCGCTCCTTCCATACGCGACTTGCAATGTACACAATCGGGGGGAAAACCACAAAGTTGCAGGTAACAAGTCACGCGGATTGCCGATTCGCAGCCCTTCGGTCCTCTGGCAGATTCTTGAACACAGCCTGAGCTAGGGCATGGCAATGGAAACGCGACACGGCTGGCGATGAGCCAAGATCTGAGTGGCCACATGGTAGACATCCCCATCCCAAACTCCCTCTTCACCAACAACTCTCTCACTCTCTCTCTCTCTCTCTTTCTCTGCCGTTGCGTCCAGAGGGTCTTGACTCAGCAAGGCAACGAAGAAGGCGCCCACTGATATGCAGGGGCACCCAACGTGTACCCTGGGATTCGTATCCTGCCAGCCACCTGCGTCGCTGAAAAACCCTAAACCGAGGCACCCCGAGGCTTTCCCGAGGAAGATTCCCAAGGCTCTTCCAGAGGGCGTCGCAAGCGACCATCCCAGGTCTTGAAAATGCAAAAGTCTTCGCCTGTCCCAGTGACTCACGGACCCCCCCTGACCTCCGGATCTTTTCTTGCGGTCGCGGTGGCTGCAGACGTGTATTGATCTGCCACCCCCCCCCCAAAAAAAAAAAAAAAAAACAAGTCGAATCTGAGAGGTTTGCAGCCAATCCAGATACGCCCCTCAAAAGAAACTCAGGCTGACCAACTTGGTTGATTGAATCAAGGACAACCCCCAAGAAGAAAAAAGAAAACAACCCCTCCAGACACCCACTGAAAACCTCGGGTGATGGCTCACAGCCAAGGGGCCACGTCAGCCTCATGCAGGCGCTTCCGCTCCAGGGCCCGGGTGGACCTCGTGAATCCGCTCGAGAAGCAAAGCTCCAGACTCATACTGATGGACAGCTGCGAAATCCATCGACCGCACCGTTCAGAAACCCAAGGGGCTGATGAAAATTCCTCTGGTAAATACCAGCAAACAGCGGTTTCTCATGGATTCAAAGTGGCGCAGGAGTTCGTCCACCCAGTCCTTTTTGGGAACATAGGTGGCGCTGGTGGTTGATTGAACCACCAAGTAACCCAGGAATCGCCCTCGATTTTGAGACCAAGTCAACCGAAAAGGACACCCATGCTCAGACTCTCCGGCCCCCCCCAAAAGGAAAAAAATGGAAGGCCCACTCCCCATCTAGTAGAGTATTTCCCTTGCGTCAAACGGGGCAGGACGCAATGAGGAGTCCCCTACATTTCCCGAGGGGGCGGCGATCTCCGGTGCGATCGATCCAACGTGGCGACGGTCGGGTACCAACCACGCCGGAACACTGCCACATGGGTATGGCTCAAAATTAAAGAGCTGGGGTTACGCGGGTTTTAGTCTTTGGTTCCATTTACAAGGGTGCCAATTTGGTACCACTTTTTTGAGCCACAGCCACATGACCAATTTCCCAGACAACATAGTTAGCAGAATTCACTCCTGGTCGGCATCCCAGTTTGTGTTTCTTGAACGGCCCTCATGAGCAACGGCCCACAAGTGGCACTGTCATCCTTGATAGGGTAACCACTCCCTTCCGCTCACAAGAAGGCAAGAGCTGGCGTCCGGTCACGCGAAATTGCGCCTTTGGTAGTTCTGGATGCAGAAGAGAAGTTCCAAAGACACCTCAGGCTCGGGCAATCCTTCCCTCAGTTCCCATTCTGCCAATTTGGTCCACCTGAGGGGTTTTGCACCAACATTTGATTTCTTGGGAATCGGTTGTGCCAAGATCCTTTCACCCGACCGCCAACCCCGCCGCAAGCCGGCAAGTCTGACGAGTGACGCGGTTGTCCGTGATGTACTGCCGCAGTGCAGTCCCGTTCTGGCGCTGCTCGAGGTTCAGCTTGTTGATGTTGTTCATGGCCCCAGTCATGCTGCCTGGTGTTTTGTGTTGTTTCTTTTTCGGCGGGGAGGTGGTTGATTTTGCAGGGAAGCCACAGGAAAACAACACGATTTGTGCATACCCTTGCACCCTCTTTCCAACAATCATGAAAGTGGAGAGGCCGTGAATCCAGCAGAGTCGTCAAGAGTCAAGAGGGAAGTCCTGTGGGAAAGAGGGTGCCACAAAGTGCACGCTGTCACGACAACAAGTCAAGAAGTTGAAGGCAGGTGTGAAGCCTAGCCTGATTGGGAGATCTGGCGAGTAAACCCCAGCACCTGTTATTTCTGTTCACCCCACCCCAACCATCCCCTCTACGACCAAAACGTGATGTTGCCCATTGCTCATGCAACCGCCAAGCCATCAATTGCATGCAAGCAGCTCACGAATGAGGAGAACATGACCTCGGCTGGAACCCAAAAAAACGTGGATTCGGGCCCGCTTTCAGGCGGACAAAATAATTGGTTTGCCAAGGGGCCAACCCCGAGAAAATCACAATGATGCAATACAATCGCTCCACCGTGTTGACCGGCACGACTTCCATGGCCTGAGGGCTTGGGCTGCGGTGTCATCTGTTGACTGTGCAATCGCAATCGGTGTGGATCCTTGACTTGGCATCTTTGTCTTTATCATTTCGCAGGAGAGAAAGCATACTTGAACAGACGGCTCGATTTTCTCTCTTTCGGCACCTTCTGATTTAAGCCGCAGCTTTGCCAAAGAAAAACACAAAGAAGCAAGAACCTGAGCAGTCTGGCTTGCTGTCAAGGAGCTGCTGGCGTAAACTGGGTGACTGCCCAGTGCACGCCTTGGCATTCGCTTCGAATCGAAGTGGAATGGCCAGGGGCACCCGAAACCCCAAGACTTGACCCGTCTGGCTGAATTTGAATGGAGGGGATCGGCCAGTCCATTGCGCTCTGGATCAAGGTAAGCTTTGGAACCAGAAAGCCTCCATCTCCCCTTGCAGTCCAAGCAGCTCGTGAGATACTGAGAGAGGACATCGTGTTTCTCCTGTCTCAAAGCAACCCAAGAGATCCACGGCCTGTATCGGCATGAGAGACTCTCCCCACGTTTGGCTTGGGGTTCTCCTCTGAACCAGAGGGCCCAGGAAGATCTGTCCCCGCCTCGTCCGTGAGATGCTCCGACACCCAGCTCCGTCCAAACCCTTCCACCTGCCATGGGGCCCCTGCAATCCGTTAGGCGGCCCGGGAAATTGAGGGGCAAATCCGCTAGTCCTACCTCAAGTTCGCAACCAGGTCATTTCTACCTATCACAACCCCTGCGCACGCGCGGAAAGCAAGCCCCCAGCCTGGCCCACAGCGAACCAGCCGCAACCTGAAAGCGTTGCTGGGGAATTGTTTGGACGTTTCTTGAGACCTGTTGAACAATTCAGGTTGCTCCCCCCCTCAAAGATACACCTCTACAAGAAGGCCCGCCACAACAGAAAATCAGTAGGACGCACCCTTCTGGGCCCGTTTGCCTGCCAAGCCTTTTCCCCAAACAGTGAAGGGTTCGTGCGGCAAGGGAAAAGATCCGGTACTTGATCAGGATGCTTGCTTTGGGCCGTGGTATTTACGCGCAATCGTGACATTGCAAAATATTGAACCGGATTTTGCCTGCCCGGGCTCGCGCAACGTTGCGGGCTGGGCTTGGTGTGTTTCAAGGGTGCGCTCTCGCTGCGGGGTCGGATCGCTAATCGCTGCGTCGCGGTGCGAACTAAGAACTTTGAAAGTGAGCCCTCCGCGGACTTTGCCAACTTTGAACCTTGCAAGTGCGCCCTCCGCGGACGTCCGGCGCATCAGATCAGTCTCATTGTGGCGCGGTGCGAACTTCAAACATCGAAAGTCGTACGCTACAAACATCGAAGCACAGGACCTGCAAAGATACTCTTGCAAGAGATCTTGTAGATCCTGGCAGAGAACCTCAAAACAGAGGATCCTCCCATGGGTTCTGCACGCAAACCTTCCCAAGGGCCAGGAGGCCCTATCAAGAGATCCTATCCGAGATCCTGCTCACAGATCTTGGCGAGATGTTGCGCAGAGACCCAGTAAAAACCCTCCCAGAGACATGGGTTTGTATTTTTTTACGGTGGCCGGGCAGGAAGGTTTGAATCCGGGGTATGATTCGCAGGTATGATTCGCGGGTATGATTCGGGGAATGATTCGGGGGTATGATTCGCGGAAGCAGCAGCAGCAGCAGCAGTAGTAGTAGTAGTAGTGTAGTAGTAACAATAGTAATAGTAGTAGTAGTAGTAGTAGTAGTAGTAGTAGTAGTAGTAGTAGTAGTAGTAATAGTAGTAGTACTAGTAGCAGCAGTAGTAGTAGTAGTAGTTGTTGTTGTAGTAGTAAGTAGTAGTAGCAGTAGTCGTAGTAGTAGTAGTACTAGAAGTAGTAGTAGTAGTAGTAGTAGTAGTAGTAGTAGCAGTAGTAGTAGTAGTAGTAGTACTAGTAGTAGTAACAGTAGAAGCAGCGACTGTAATGGCGCGGAAGCTTTGAAAAGACTTGGCTCCGGCCTTGGCAAGGCAAGTTCATTGCGTGGGTATGATTCGGGTATGATTCGCGGGTATGATTCGGCTATGCAAACCGGCACTGATTACAACTCAGAATGATGACTGTAGTAGTAGCTGTGGTAGTAGTAGCAGTAGGATGTAGTGGTGCTGAAAAAGACTTGGCACTAGCCTTGCCAGGGGAAGCTCATTGTCCGGGTATGATTCCGGTATGATTCGGGTATGATTCGCGGGTATGATTCGGCTAGGTGCAAAACGGCACTGATTACAGACTCAGAATGATGTATGTAGCAGTGAGTAGTAGCAGCAGCAGCAGGAATAGTAGTAGTAGAAGTAGAAGTAGAAGTAGAAGTAGTAGTAGTAGTAGTAGTAGTAGTAGTAGTAGTAGTAGTAGTAGTAGTGGTAGTAGTAAAGGTTGTAGTCGTAGTAGTAGTAGTAGTAGTAGGAATAAAGGTAGTAGTCGTAGTAGTAGTAGTAGTAGTTAGTAGTAAGGGTAGCAGAAGCAGAAGTACTAGCAGTAGCAGCGGTAGTAGCGGTGGTAGTGGTAGTAATCCTCGTAGTCGCGGTAGTAGCAGTAGTAGTAGTAGTAGCAATAGTAGTAGTAGTAGTAGTAGTAGTAGTAGTAGTAATAGTAGTAATTGCAGTAGTAGTGTGTGGAGGCAGTGAACAACACAAAACGGTAGAAGAACAGTAGCATCTTGCAGCATACGTTTTAAGGGGTATGATTCGGGGGTATGATTCGGGGTGTGATTCGGGGGTATGATTCGGGGGTATGATTCGGGGAGGTCCCACCTTCTGCCTTTTGAAGCAACTCAACACACCAAAAAAAGACAAACCCATATCTTGCCCTGGTCCTTCACAGGGATCCTTTAGAGAGCCCTTACTCCGCTGGAAAGAACCTCGCAAGAAGTCTCGCACAGACCCTCAAGGATTCTGTTCACAAATCGTTCTAAATCCTACCAAAAAATCCTGTCAAGAGATCGTGCACGCAGATCTTGGCAAGAGATCTCTAAGTCAAGAGATGTTGCGCAGAGATCCTGTAAAATCCAAAAACACCTTGCATCACCTGTTGTATGTTTAAGATACCATTCACTTTTCTTTTTCCCTGCGCAACAAACAGTGGGGTCTTTCGCCGCTGTAATTTAAGCTGTTTGGGGTCTCTCGCCGTTGTAATTTAAGCTTAAAGAAGCACTCCTAGATTCATTTCAGAAGGAAGCGCGGATCCGTCCGCGAAGCAAACCGGTCAGCAGCGAACCTACGTAGTGGTTGATCAGGATGACCAGAAATAGAAGCTGCAGCACGCTGCTCACGGCCTAAAGCTCGCGATGGCTCACCGTATCAGCGCCCATGCCGAAACCCTCAAAGTGGTTGCCAATGGGTTTTTCGAGTTCAACGCTTGCTCGGGCCCAGGGCCCAGGGCTCCCCCCCAACAACAAATACTAAGAAACCCTGGAATGATCATCCCCCTGCAAATACCAACAAACAATGGTTTCCCATGGTTTCCAAGTGGTGCAGGATTTCGTCCATCCACAGTATGGAATGAGGCTTGTAAGTCGGTGGGCCCCTTTGTCCCGACCCTGCTTTGACACATTGTCACCCAACTCTACTGAGCTTGGGCGCCTTGTTGTGGTCATTCAACACGGCCTCCTTCAACCTGCCAGGCATCAGGAATCTGGCGAGATGACTGGCTTCCCTTCTCTAACTTTGCTGGGGGCCTATGAAGGGCGTAGCTGGATAGTGGTTGGAAACCTCCAAGAGGTAGGAATGGCCATTCCCTCATCTGCGCATTCTTTCTAGCCATCTGCGGCATCGGGCCTGATGATTGAAGATCTGTCGGCCACTTTGATGACCCGAATCAAGCGCAGCACGCGCAAAAGGCCTGAGCGCAAGTCACACCGTCACACCTCCCTGGCCCCCTTTCTTTGGGGAAGCATGCCACTTCCAGATGGCCGAACAGCCGGTCCGCATGCAGCCCAGTGGCGCAGGAAAATCCGGCCCCTGCCACGCAAGCAAATCAGGCACACCCCAGAGCTAATTTCGTGGCCAGCCTCAGCACGCGCAGCACCTCCATGTCATCCAGGCCGTTGGAGAGCAGCAACACCCAGTCCTTGGCGCTTGCGTGGGGCGGGTTGTGCGTTTCAAAGCTTGTTTGCCTTCCCTTGACTTGCTGTTTTCATGTTTCTCCAAGGTGGGACAAGCCGGCCTGGGCCCAAAACACAAGACCTGCAACCTGGCCATCCCCGATGCCAAGCTGAGGATCGGTTGCAACCACAGAGAGGTCCACGAAGAACCAACTCCTGGCCGCTGCACGAGCCATGGCCGAAATATGCGGTCTCCGTCATGGACATGGGAGATGAGTGAGTCACTTCGGCGTGCATGGGAAACACCCCATGTCTGTGAAGTGCGCCCAGGACCTCACCCAAAACTCCACAAGGGGCGTATTTTGGGCATGCTGCTTGCTGCGAACTGCTGAAGCCCTCGAGGCTTGTCCCCACAGCCGGTCCCGACGTACTTCTTGGCCACGTAGGTGGGCCTCATGTCCACAGCGCCCCGGTCCGTCACGCCACGGAGGAAGGACATGAGGATGTCCTCGCTCACTCGGCACACGCCCTCCACATGGCTGTGGGTCAAAAATGGGGAAACCCCAAAATGGAACCCAAAAATGGGTACCCAAAAATGGTTTACCCTGGCAAAAGGAACCAAGGACTAAAACCTGTGGTTGTTTGGTGGTTTAATTTTGGCCCACACCACCCCTCATCCCGTCCCCAGATCCGTTGGCTCGAATCACCGAGGCGCCAAGGTCCAAACCACGGCCACCAGGAGGTCGCCCTGGGCGGTCAAAAAAGCAGCAAGTCTGCTGCCGATCGGCCCACAGGCCCCGGGGCCCAAAAAGGAATTGAGGGGGGTTTGCTAAGCCAAGCTGCGGCGGAAAGAAAGCTGCTGGTGAAGCTGAAGACCTATCAGATTCTCACAGCTCGTCCCCTCACTGATCCCCTCCCTTGGCTTGCCTGCAAGGGAAGCGTGATCAGGTCATAGAACACAAACATCACGGACACGGCATCCCAGATCACGGAGGCCTGACGTCGACAAAAAGCAAAACGCACCAGAGGCGGCGAGGCGAAACCAAGGCCGGGACCCAGCTGTTGGGATTCACCATGAACTTCCTCAGACTTTGCCGAGCTAGCCCGCTACAACTTGGTTGACGTTGGAAGGGGGCAAAAATTTAAATTTTAGCAGTTCAGTGGGGATTTCAACCACTAAACCACAATAAGAAAAATGTAAAATGTTTCCCAACGACAACCATGACAAGGGAATGCACTTGAAACCATAGTCCAACATACCAAAAAATGATCTGGCCCTGCAAAAGCAACAGGACACACACGCAGACACATCTGCACAAATGCACGCAGGGGTTTCTCCAAACTCAACGTCCTTTCCATGGGCGGAAAGGAAATTCCCCGGGGTCAGCTCAAGTCAGACCCTTCGGCCAAGATTCTGGATGCAGCTGCGCTCTTTTATCACGTCCCCAGATCGGAGGCCTTCTCGCAGTTGGGAGAGTTGGGGATCCTGGCGCTGGTGGGCAGCAACAAGGCATGGCAGCACTCAGACATGTTTATAAGCTGGAATCATGCTTTCCTTTGTCACTTCCAGTTTTCTTGGAGCGGTCTAGCCTGAGTGACCAGCTGGTGCTTCTGAAATGCCAGCTTGCTTGGCTTGCGGTCATCAAACTCTTTGGCCCAGACTGTAACGATGGTGGTTACCACTGTGCAAGCTTGTGACTTGGTATGAGCATCGTGCAAGTACAACTGCATCCATTCGTGCAACTAGCAACCGTGTACAAAACAGAAATCCATATCGGAGCCAACCAGACTGGAGACATGGAGCAGGACTTTTGTTAGGACGGGTGTCCTACCAAAGTAGGCTGAAAGAAACAACCCAAGGGCCAGCCGTTCTCACGGCTCGGACCGCGGCCAAATGCGCCACTCGTAGCGACCAGCGCCCGAATCGGTTTGGGCGCTGAAAAGGCATCACTAAGGGTGGTGCAAAAGGCCCCACCCATTTTGGAACATCAGGACCCCCTAGAGCAGCTTCCAAAAAAAGCGCCAAGGTATATATGTTCAAAGCGCATTGGAGCAGCGCAGGAGCTCGCACATCAACAGCTTTCAGCAAGTGCGGGTGAAAACAAACAAGTCAGACAAGTTTGAGGCAGAAAGATATCGTCGCCATCTCTGACCTTCACATCCTGACACGTCGCAACTGTCGGCCGTTCTGCAAGCAAAACCTCGGTAAAGCTTGGCAACCAAGCGCATTGCTCTGCCAAATCATGATCCCCCCCCCCGCGCCTGCGCCCCAGTGGGAGTAAACAACAGAGACCGGGGAAGGAGCATCAAAAAACATCTGGAAATTATAGGACGCAACGCCCGCCAAGACAACATCAGCCACAACATGGGTTCGGCGGAGCGCATCAAAAAAGACAAAGCCAAACAAAAAAGCATCAAGCAGGCAAGCAAACAAAGAAACACCGGCAAGGAAAAGAAAGCAAGACAAGCAGAAAGGACCAGCGGTAAAAAAAAAAAGAAGCCCACGGACCATTGACCGCCCCCTTTCTCCGCTCCTCGATCCCCGAGGAGAAGCTCCCGACGCTGTTCACGGACTTCAGCCGCGGCAGCGACATGCCCTCAAGGCAAACGCAAGGATCCACTTGTGCGGGGATTGCATGACCAGCACCCAACCTCCCACCTCCCGAGCTGCTGAACATGCGAGCCATGCTGACATGGCCCCCTTCCATTGCTTGCCTTCTGGTTTGGCCCAATGCAGAGCGCTGGGCGAATCCCAAACACTTTCCGGAACAACCCTTTTGCTTGGACGCTCAGAGCCACTTGGCAAGTAGGTCATATTTCTAACCAGGATGACTTGGGATAGCGCACCCTTGAGCATCCAAGTAGGTATGCCCTTTGTAGGCTAAACCGTGGATTTTTCCCGGAACCCTTTTTGAGTGTTACTTTGTTCTTAGCCAAACGGGAAACCACTCGTCGCCGCCGTCATCGTAGCAGTCGTAGTAGTAGCAGTCGTAGCAGTAGTCGCAGTAGCAGTCGTAGCAGCAGTCGTAGTAGCAGCCGTAGTAGTAGTAGTAGTAGTAGTCGTCGTCGTCGTCGTCGTCGTCGTCGTCGTCGTCGTAGTCGTAGTCGCTTTACGGAACCCTTTTTGAGTGTTGCTGCTTTATTTGCCAAAAGGGAAACCAACCATTCTTGGGTCCCCCTATTTAGAGACCTCATGGTTGGATGTGAGGTAAAGCCTCAGCAGCTAGCAAAGAGCAAACAGGAGCAAACAGCTGTCTGGAGATGACAGGGTATCAGATAGTAGTAGTACTAGTACTAGTAGTAGTAGTAGTAGTAGTAGTAGTAGTAGTAGTAGAAGTAGTAGCAAAAAATAATCTTTGCGTGATACCTTCACGCATTTTGGCTCAAGCCAGTGACATGTGCCGAGGCGCGACTGGAGACAGCCGCCTAGACTTGGGTCGAAACTCCTGCGTCCACAACTGGTGCAAGGAGAGGCTGCTCTGGGCCTGAGCGCATTGCCGAGCGCCGCGCGCCGAGCGGCCGAGCGCTTGCTTCGGATGCACGCGAAGCAAAATGCTGTCAAGCTGCGGAGATCTGGCTTCTTGTTCCTTGAACTTGGAGCTCCTCTGCTGCCTGAGCTCAAGCGAGTCGCATTCAAAACCCGGTATTACAACCCATAACCATGTAAAGAACGCACCCAATCCTGGCTGCGGTTCCCTCCTCTTACCCGGGCCTTGTTTCTGACTCAAGTGGCGGGTGAGAATCCGACCCAGCGCAACCCCCTACTTGAGGAAAGCCTCCTCCAGCGGGGCCAAGGCGCGCTCTCGGCATCGCTCTGTTCGCCCGCCTGCTCCGAGTCCGCGGGGCCTTCCGCAGGTTTTTGCGCGGAAGGCGGCGAATCTCGCCACATGGGCTTAGCGTGGCCGAATCGAGCTGGCACAAACAAACAGGATCTACGAGAGAAAAAAGGAAAAAAGGAAGAAACAAAAACGGAGAAAAACAAAGTAATGAACCCACTCTTCAACCTCTGAGATCCTGAAAAGAAATCCCACACAGCCCAGCAAAATCGGTCTGAAACACCGCCACCCACACCTCGATCCTCGCCTGGGAAGTGCTCTTCGGAGGCCAAGCTCAGGGTCTGCGGCGCCTTGGAACTTCCCAGCGCCTGCTCGTAGAGCGCCGTCAGCCTCGCCACCAAGTCGTAGAAATCCTCCGACTCCTTGCGTTGACTGGGGCTTGCCACAGGCGGAGAACGAACATATCTCGGGGGTGCGCAAGACTTACTTCTCCGAGAAAAAAAAATACCCTTCCGCAAATCTTCCGCGAACCTTCCGCGCCCGTGGTAAGATCTACACACACGTTGTCACTGGTTTCGGTCGATGTATTCGCCTGATGGACCGCAGCCTTGGACCTGGTCTTTGATTGAACATTTGGCGTTTCCTTTGCGAGGGTGTGACCACCGACAATTCTGTCCGACCTAGTTGATATCTCAGCGTGCCCGGAGTGTTCAAGCAACAGTGGTTTGAACATGTTCGGAAACATGTAGCGGCATCTTCAAGTCATGGCTTCACCATCTTCAAATGGGCGTCGCGCTAAAATCCATGCATTCGGTTTAGTATTCCGAATTGCCAGGCTTCATGGCATGAGCTTCCCACTGTGTGCGCGGAAGAGACGCGGAAGGGTGGCGCAAGTGATACATGTAGAGATACGGAAGGGTGGGGAAGAAAATCCGCCAACCAGAGTTCGCCTTCTTCGCGCCCAAATGACCCACCAGCCACTTCCTGAGTGGCCATCGGATTGGCCCAAAAATTGCCCCCCCCCCCCCCCGAAGCTTTTCTTGGCCAGAGGCCAAAGTGACCAAGTCCAGGCCCCAGGTGAGATGAGAAAGCCGATTTTTTCGAGTGGATCACTCCTGGGACTGGATCGGTGCCGGCATGGGACCCCGCGCCCCGGAAACCCCACTTGAGAACTGGGACGGCTCAACGGCGACCGGAACCTGAGGGCTGCCAGAAAACCCCGAGCTGTTCGTGGGATTTCGTCCTCTGGATGCTTCAGGATACAAAAAAACAACAAAAAAGAAGCGGCCTGGATGGGGTCCCCAATTCTGGGCAACACCCAACCGTAAGTCGGCCGAAGCATCAGTTTGGAAAAACAGCTGGCATTGGATCCAAACAAAGCCATTCCCGCGTATTTCAGCCAGTGGCCTGAAAGCACACTCATGTAAACCAGCGTCTGCTTGTCAAGACGCCACACACATGCAATGCCCCATCCAACTCAACAGCCAGCCTGCGCCCGCGCGCGGAGCACCTTGGTCGGAACTGTTTCTTGCGTTCTGCCAGCAAAATGGTTCATGTTGCAAGGTCTGAAAGGGTCTGGAACGGTGGAATGACTGAGAGTCTGCCAGACTCGGGGTGTTTGATCCCCGCTACGTTGAGGGTACCACCCGCGACGGAGTTTCGCCCGGCCAGAAATGGCGGCTTCGCCGCGCGCCTCGCGGGCCTTCTTGATGCGGCCGTAGGTCCGCTTGTCAATATGGGTGCGCACCTGAGGCAGTCGCTTCGCCCGAACCCCCCGACACCCACGCGGCCCAGCCTTCACCAGCTCCGCATGAGGAATCTCGAACCTCGAAGGTGTTCCGGACGGCTCCGGCCGGTTGCGGCAGCTGAAAACCAACACATCGCTATTCTTGGTATGGTAGCGAAAAAACTTTGTTTTTTGCAGACCCCCAGTCAAATGAACAGAACAAAAAAAAAAAAAAAACTCTAAAAAACCAAAACACATGCCAAGAACAGTGAAGAAAAAAGACCACCGAGGCGCTCTTGGGACTTCTGCTTCTCGGTCAGCTGCACCTTGCCCTTGAGGTGATTCTCCTTGCCTTAGCTGCTGGCGCTTTTTGGAGGAGAGAGCGGATTCTTTGCCCGGGAACTCTTTTGCCGGTTCCAGTATTTCTTTACAAAGGGGGGGGAAACCTAAATACCCATTGCAATGCTTTGTGAGAACAGGCGGGCCAGGATAGAACCGGCTGGGCGTTGCTGTGTGCTCAACCCTGCGCCACATGAGGTTGGCACACATTTCACTTTGTTCTTCCGATCTACTGAGCAGACCGAGCTACCAACCGGTCCACTGATAACGGCACGCAGACGCAGACAGATGAGGAAGAGAGACAGAGACAGAAAAAACAGACGGAGAAACCAGACAGAAAAACAGAGACAGAGACAGAGCAACAGAGACAGACCTGAGGCCTGAGCAACTGGGCAGGTAGCCAATCACAAGGACAACACTAATATCAAACCATCAGCTGTCGATTCTCTTGGCAAGGGCGGCACGCTGTAAACCAGTGATGATGACATCCAGCACTCGCACACACATGCAGCACATGCAGCACATGCACATGCATATGGTTGCGGGTGCGCATGTGCATTTACACGTGCGTGCACAGGAGGTAATTCAGGTAAGGCACAGTCCGCCAATCGCCAGATCGATGCATCTACGACGGTCTTTGCATCGCGGTCCTGTGGTCAGCGGCACTCAGTGCCCTACGCACTGCTACCCTCTGCTAATTACCTGAGAGGCCCACAAGGGTCAGGTATCTTGAATATCGAGAGGCGTCAGAAACCTCAGCACAGACTGCCCCCCCCTACGGACTTGTCAAACGAGTGAGTGCCAAGCCCACTCCACGAGGCAGGGGAAGAGTTCACCTGAGCAAATTTGACCATAGCGCAGACAAGCGCAAGCTCTTAGACGACCTCCCACAGAAACCGCACATGAATCTCACTGTGCTTCCATCCTTTGCAAAACCAGACGGCTCGTGTGCGAAGTCGCTCCAGTGAGGTAGCGAGTACCTCACCTGGGCCACGGGCACTTCCACAGCTCCTCCAGGCTCTTCAAGTCCTGCAGCCCAAACCCCAGAGCCCATAGGTGTCCTTTTGGGGCAAATAGATGGATTTCCCTGGTAGATGATTAATTCACCAGGAGGGCCATCTAGTTTTCGACCAAAACAGCCAAAAAGGACACCTATGCCAGAGCCCCGCAAGGGGCTTTCCCACCTCCTCCACCCCTGGCGTCTGCACCTTCAGCTGGTAGATGCCCAGCCTCAACTCAAGACTCCTCACCAGGCCCTTGAGGGTTTCTGTGCCGCGGGCTTCCAATCTTGGAGCTCCTGAGCTGGGGGCTGGGAGCGGAACCGTTGCGGAGACGCGTCGGAGATTTTTTTTTGTTAAATATATGTATATATATATATAAATATAAATATAAATATATGTATATATGTATATGTTTTTTCCCCGGCCCTCTGCTTCAAACGTCTTCGAGGCCATTGGCCTGGCAGCCTGCGAGCGCAGACAAAGAAGCTTTTGCCAGCTCACAATGCCTCCTGTACACATTCTGAGGCCCTGGGGCCTGTATCACCAATGGCCCGATTTGACGGCCACTGCCAAGCCCACTGTGTTCACAGATTGTTGGCAGACAAGTGGTGTCCGTGGTGGCAGCAAAAAAATGCCCACATGCTCAAGGATCGAGTTGCGACCCGCGCAAACCCCTTTTCGGGGCCGTACCATGAGGTTGGAATGCCCAGCTCCAACTGCAGATGCCAGAAAAAGCTCGGCAACCCAACAAAACTGTCAGCGGTTATTACGCACTGACAAGCGGAGGAAACTCATTTCTGCGGTGACGACAAGTGCGCAAGTAAGGCCCATCTTGAAGTCATATGCGCATGCCTAAACCCCTTTGAGGGAATTTCGCCTCCCAGGCAACCAAGGCTTCCTGCGCTTGGTCACAATAAAAAGCGCCGTGCAACTGAAAGCAAAGTCACTGCGCCAAAACCCTAAGCCATTCAAACAGAAGTTCAACTGCTTCCTGCCTTCAGCTGCTTTGCCCAAGTTGTTTGTCCCAAGCAGCTCTTCGGGTCAAAACACGAGTCATGGCCTAGTGGGCCTCTACCGCAGAGCCGTCGAGGCTCTGCAAGGTGTCTAGCCTACAGTGAGGGGCAGCAGGCTCCGCTGCTTGCGCAAATGTCTGCAACACGCCCTTCACATCTTTCCCAAGGGCCATCTTCAAGCTCTGGATGTAGCTCTTTATATCCTCAGCAATCCCATCTGTCGGGAGCATCTTCAAAGCAATGTTGCCCGAAGAACACCACCCAAAAGCCAGAAAGCCCTCATGCAAGTGACAGCTGTGTTGAACACTCGCCTCTTCAGCCTTCAGAACTTCAGGCTGAATCTATTGGAGGCGGCAATCAAAACGTCGGCTGGTCGCGGCTCCGACCAAAAGGTGTTCCAGTGACTGGTTCTCCAAATGTGCAAGGAAAGGGCCGCAAAATCCAAAATTTCACCCGAAGCGTGCAGCATGTTCGGGACCCTGGCACGCATCCGGCTTCGGAGCATCGGGCTGGAAGGTGACGAGCATGGCTTACATCCAAACCATGGACCCCGGAGCTGCAAATCAGAGGGAGCCTGGAACTACGGACCCTCCACCCCTTCTTTTGCGTTTTTTTTGGTTGGATCCCGGTGCCGTGAAAACCCTGAGGCTTGATCCATCTCTTGGGGCTCTTTTCGCCGGCCTTGTCGCTGATCGCGGCATCCAAGCGCCTGTGGCACTTCTCGAAGAGGTGCTCCGCCTGCGAAGGCCCAAAATCCGTGATCTCCATGAGGCCATGGGTCAAAACCCCGGTTATCCCCCAGTGAACATCCCAATCCCCACTAAAATAGGTTCTAAAATGGGTGGTGAAGTCACCTACCCCAAAATGGTACCATTGGTTTAACCCACAGCCATGTGTCTTTGAGGGTGCCCTTCGGCTTACCGCCTCTTAGGTTGTTCTTTTTCCAGGAATGCCGCCATTTTGGGGGTCTCGTCTTTTCTCTTTCTCCTTGGGCTGAACTTCCCGGGCGATTTCGCCGTGCGCCCCCGCAGCCTGCTGCGCCGTGATCTGCCCCGCCACCAGCTCTGCCAGGCTCAAATCCCCGCTGCCATCCACGTCCAGGGCCCGAAGCCTCCAAAAGTCGTTGCGTGGGATGCCACCGCTCCCACCGCAAAGCCCGGCGGAAGAACTCCGTTCCCACTGCCTTTTGCCGTACCCGAACATCCGGTGTCGCGGGGTCTTTGATTCTGGGCCCATGCGTAGTGAACTGAAAAAAATACGCCCGGGAACCTTGCTTGAACCCCAGAACATCCTCTGGGCTGAGATCCTCTAGCTTTCAGCTGTTGGGGAAAAACTGGATTTTAGAAGGCATCCCTGCGACGCGCGCTGGAAAGTCAATACGCCACAAAAGCGCACGGCAAGAGGAATCTGCCTTGAGATCGTACCCCTTTTGCAGGATGCCACCGCTCGCTTTTAGGTGGCAAACACACAACCCCATTTGCGCAAAGGGCAGGAAACAGACTGGAAAACAAGGTCTCCCTGACCCCACCCCTTCCAGCATTTCGATGAGGCTGAGACACCCTCACAGGCCTTTTCCGGCCTCATGAATCTACGCAGGTCCACATGGAACCCAAAAGCCCCTTGGAGGAATTTTATTTTGGAACTTTTTGTTGGATTCACTCTTAAATTGAGAAATGGCTCAACCAATATGGTACTTTGGTATATGGAAACAAAGGCTACAACCTTGCCTAACCCCAGCTGTTCCAGGTCGAGCCACTTAAATGGGATTTAAGCCAAGACTCATGATGTCAACCTCCTCCTCGGTGATGGCAATGGCCTCCTGGTTTAAAAGGCTCTGCAGGACTTCTGCAGCATAGAAACCATCACACCACACGAGGATGCTCTCGATGTGCGTCGGCACAAGGGAGAAAAAGCCTGTCAAAGTCCCCACCCGCCTCCTGAATAAACTGAACCGAACGGAATGGAAAAGACAAAATTACGAATGGGCGGAAACCAGGAGCCAGCACCCGCGAGTGATAACCCCCGCCGAAAACGCCCCCTGCCCCCCATACATCATTCCCTCTTTGCCTGCAAAATGCAAATGTGTGTGCCCGAGGGGCTCTCAATTGCAGCTACACCTCCCATCCAAGCATTGCTTGGGGCTAAATTGGCATAAGCCGACCAGTCGCTTGAAGCATGCTTTGGCTGCCATTGAAGCACAGGCCCTCTCCAGCCCTTTCTGAGCTCAAATGCGGTTTTGAAACGTCTGCATCCCCAAACCTCCTCAAACGTTCAGGCGCAAGCCAAGCGACTGAGACACAAAAAGCCCCTCATGGTGAGCGGGGTCTGCAGCTGCTCCAGCCTCTGGCGCACCTGTCAAACAGCTCCTAACCTCCAAACCGCCAACTTCGGTAAGGTTAAATCAGCGAAATGCTGATGCACCGAAACAGCGACATCTCAAGCCAGTTTGCCCTCCAGCATCAAGTCCCCTCGCTGCCTCTACGTGCTTTCCCCCTACCCGTCCGAAAGACCTCCAAAAGAAGGGCGGGCCCCGCTTCTTTCGTAAATTTAGGACACCCGTTTTCAGGCGCAAGCTGGAAGCTGGGGAACATGAGCCCTCGATTGGTTGGCCTTAGGTATTTGTTCACAGCTCCATGGAAAGCTTTGCTTCGAGGCTCTGAGGAAAGGGACACCCAAAGAACACCGATTTTGGGGGGGGGGTCCAAAACGAATGTTGAAACATGGTCAGCCAAACCTCCGATCCGATACACAGCGCCTGCGTCTCCAGCAGTGCACGCTGAAACTGGGCACCCAGCCCTTCCACCTCCTGTGCAAAATTCACCCCTTCGTCCTGGCAAGGCGTGGTTGGGATTCAGATAACCACCACTTAGGTGGCTCCCCATTGACATTGATTAGAGCTTGGCCTGCGCCAGCGCACACCCTGCATCATCAGCACCCGAAACCTTTCAGCACACACCACACACACACACACACTCACTCACGCACGCATGCACCCACCCACGCACGCACGTACGCACCCATGCACGCCACAACACACGACCACACAAACACACAAACACACAAAAACCCAAACAAACACTCAAATACCCAAAAATCCAAACGCACAAACATAGAAACACAGAATCACACAAGTCCGCAAGCGCGCAAACACACAAACACACAAATGTTCAAACACACAAACGCAAAATCACACCAAGAGAGGGAGAGACAACGAGATAGAGAGAGAGAGAAAGAAAAAAAAAGAGAGACACAGGCGCGGGGGTAAGCGCGCGCGCTCGCGCTCGCACGCACACCACCCAACCCACAAACACACACACACACAAACAAACAACAGCCAACACATAAACACACATATGAACAAATACACAAACCCACAACCACGCAAACACACAAAGACGCAAGGACACAAACACTCAAGCACACAAACACCCCCCCCCCCCAAAAAAAAAAACACGCAACCACGCAATAAGAAAAAGACAAAGAGACACGCAAAACGGCAGAGACGTAAAGACACAAGCGTGCAAAAGACAAAACGACACAAAAACGCAAACAAACAAGCACACAAACACCCAAAAACACAAACATGCAAACACACAAATGACAAAAAGATACAAAGACACAAAGCCACAAACACGCAAACAAACAAAAGACCGCAACATGCAAACACGCAAACACGCAAACACGCAAAGACACAAAAGCACAAAAGCACAAACGCACAGCGCAGAGAGAGGGAGGGAGGGAGCGAGAGAGAGAGAGAGAAAAAAAAAAAAAAAGCGAGAGAGAGAGAGAGAGAGATAGAGAGAGAGAGAGAAATGCGTGCACACGTGCACGCGCACGCCGCCCAGCACACTTAAACTCCCGAACGAGGGGTCTGAAATTCGAGTAGGGTTGATTCGAGTGGGTGGTTCGAGTGGCGAACAAGATGCAGACAAACTCTAGTTCGAGTTGATTGAAAAGGGCAAAAGCAGAAACAACAGCGGTTCATTGGGGGGGCCAAATAGATTTTGTATCACAGGCAGGTACGTCAATCCAGCGCACACACGCGCACACACACACACACAGACACACACACACACACAGACTCGCAGAGACACACACAGACACACACAGACACACAGACACACACAGACACACACACAGACACACACAGACACACACAGACACACACAAACACACACACAGACACACACACACACACACAGACACACACACACACACACACAGACACACAAAACACAAACACAAACACAAACACAAACACAAACGCAAGCACAAGCACAAGCACAAGCACAAGCGCAAGCCCAAGCACAAGCACAAGCACAAGCACAAGCACAAGCACAAGCACAAGCACAAGCACACACAGACACAGACACAGACACAGACACAGACACAGACACAGACACAGACACAGACACAGACACAGACACAGACACAGACACAGACACAGACACAGACACAGACACAGACACAGACACAGACACAGACACAGACACAGACACAGACACAGACACAGACACAGACACAGACACAGACACAGACACAGACACAGACACAGACACAGACACAGACACAGACACAGACACAGACACAGACACAGACACAGACACAGACACAGACACAGACACAGACACACACACACACACACACACACACACACACACACACACACACACACACACACACACACACACACACACACACACACACACACCACACACGCCACACACACCACACACACCACACACACCACACACACCACACACACACACACACACACACTTGCACTTGCACTTGCACTTGCACTTGCACTTGCACTTGCTCTTGCACTTGCACTTGCACTTGCACTTGCACTTGCACTTCTTTTTTTCTGCATGCCTTCAACCCGGGAGCTCCTCGGCCTTGGCCGAGCCGGCAATCGCTAGGAACTCCTTGCGAACGGCAATGGGGTCTCGCAAGAAGTTGAGGACCAGCTCCACATCCGCCCTCGAGCTATGCTGGCTCCTCAATTTCAAGGGTGCCGCGCGGCTTTCTGAAAAACCCAACCTGGCCTTTCGTCGCATCTTCAGCCACACAAACTCCCAGCATCACTTTCACTTTCGGGTGTGGACCCCAGGCTCCGCAAAGGCAGCACCTCAAGTTCGACCAGGCGTCAGGTGGTGGAAGAACTTCCACAGCAGCCAGGCTTGGGCTTTGGACACCTCTGCCGGCGGGGTCCAAACCTCGGGGCCACCAGCCCAGTTCCCGGCTCCCTTAGGCCCCGGAGCACCACGACTTCCGGCCACAGACTTCTCCAATGTGCAGCTCCAACAGGCATGGGACACTTCGTGCGTCCCCGGTTTGCGAAATTGTGCGGCGCTCTCTTTTAACAGCAGGGCCAGTCAGCCCCCCAGTTCCTGCCACAGGCACGCGCGAGGGACGGGAGGGGCCAGCTCGCTTCCTGGCAAATTTCACAAATGGGCGGAAATACCACCGACCCCTTCGACCAGGCGACCCGCCTCCCGGTCATTTTGACATACGCAAGGCTTCCACACCAGGTGCCTGCCGCGAGCAAAGAGAGAATAGGTCGAGATTCTATTTGGGACTTGTTTTGCTTTATTTGGGTTTTTGTTTCCGTCTTGGCCGGACAAATGATGTATTTTACAGCATTCTCTCATGACATGTACGTATTTACAGTAGCCCGTCAGCATCATCAACACCGTTTTCAACATCCCCCGTATGCCCAGCCAACATCCCCAGCCAACATCCCCAGCATCACCAGCAAATCAAGGGCTTCCTACATCCTCAGCATCACCAGTTCCTCTCCGGCAAGGTTGGTAGGCATTTATGTATGCATGTTATAAAGCAGCGGGGGGTGGCAGCCCCCCCCATGATGATCGAAAAAGTGACGATTCAATCGGGGGCAAAAAATCTGGAAAGTAGCGGGGGGGGGGGGGGGGCAGCCCCCCATGATGATCAAGATTTTAATCGAGAGGGGGGTGGCCGGGGGGGGCACCAGAGAGGAACTGGCGATGCTGAGGACCAACTGGGAAAGCAGAGGATGCGAAAAGCCAAAGCCCATAAACTCAGTTGAAAAAAACACAAAAACCAAACAGAAAGGAACTAAGGATGCGAAAGGAAAAGCCCCAAAAGCCACATAAACCCACGTAAAAACAAAAGCCAAAAAGACTAAAAGCCACCCACCCTGAAAAACACGACCTTAAAAAAACGAACGAAAAAACCTTAAACAAATGGCCCTCCAGAAAGAATTGAGTTCGTGCCTTGCGTCTGCTTTCAACACGAAACGGGAGGTGATTGCTGGCTTCGACAGCCGGATGTGTTGAGCCGGGGCCGCTGGGTTCCTTCCTGAACAAAAACGCTCGTCACGCACTAGCAGCTCAGCCGTTTGTCAGCAAATGGCTGTCTCCAGCAAAAGCTCACAGCTTCACGCCGCGTCCCTTCACAGCTTGCCTATCGCTGCTATCCCCAAACACAGGTGTCGTCTGAAGAAGAAGGAATGTACTGGGCGGATCATCTGACTTGGTTTTCATTCTGGGCCCCTGTTGTTCCAAAGGCAACCGCACGCCTGCAACACCTGCAGCTCCACCACAACAGTTGACGTCATACCGTGCAGCCACAAGAACCCTGCTGTATGAGCAGAACGTGGTCTAGGTTGAGCCGTCATGCCATCATGACCGCTGCCCCTCTCCTGTTCACGTCACGTTTACCACTCTCGGCATCACAGCGCTCGTTCCCTGGTAATTATCTGGTTGCCCCATCCTTCCGCGCCTGCATCAAGCGAGCCACGCGCGTGACTCCCTCCAGTGAACCTCCTCACCGAACCTCTGGCTGTTGATGGCGCTGTATCTTCTGAGTGATGCGACCGCATTGCCATGCTATCCTTGGACCCCCTCCGCAGCGACTCGGCTTCCGACGCTCCTGGCAGGAAAGCAATCAAATCCTTCAGCAGGTACCACTATGCCTGAAAAGATGTAGAAGACCCTTTTCATGCGGTTGGCTTCCTTTTGGTTCCCTTTCAAAACATTCACAAAAGCTCTTCCCCATTCATGGGCAAAAGACGAGACTGCAGATCGCAAGCAGACACCGCCACATCCGTCCCGCCTGAATCGAGCGAGCCACGTGGGCGACTCCCCCTCCTTACAGGAGACAATGCGTCCTCCTTCAAGGAGAGACACTCGGAGTGGCGCTTCTGCGCGGCCATGCTGTCCTTGGACCCCCTCCGCAGCCACTCGGCTTCTGACGCTCCTAGCAGAAAAGCACACAACAAATACCGCTTTCGGCAGGTGCTGTGGAAGCCAAGTTTCCCAAGATGGGCGACCTTTCCATAGAGGGCGGAATGTACCAAAAACTTGTTCAACAAGAAAATTGCAACAGCTGTACATGCAATGCATTCTTCAAGCACGCCGGCGCGAACGGCATGCTTGCGCTCGTCGCGCACAGGGCATCTGCATGTTCATACGCACGTTCTGTGCCATACGGGCTTTTGTGTTTGTATGGTAACGTGTACGTGCTGCGAATTCCCGAGCCGTAGCTGCAACGCAAGCTTCGCTCGCAAGATCTCCGCGCAAGCTTCTTTGCGCCAGTTCTGCGCGCAAGTTCTCTGCACTACTGGCCTCCGCGCAAGTTCGCTCCGCAAGTTTATCTACACAAGATCCATTACGCGAGGTCTGTTTCTTTGCGCAAGCTGTCTGCGGAAGTTCTGTTCGCACACAAGTGATTGGCTCTCTGGGTGAGCTATCGGCGCACGTTTCTCTGCGCAAGTGCTCTGCGCAAGTTTCTCCACGCAAGATCTCTGTGCAACTATCTCTTTGCAAGTTGCTCCGATCAGGTGCAGAGGGTCACATTTTCGCAGTGACTTTGGCCCCACCAACACCACCGCGCCGCCTTAAAGGACAAACGTTAATATTGGGCCCGCATTTCTTGCGCAAGATGCTTCATGCGAGCTTTCTCATGCCAGTTCGCTTGTGCAATGTGCTGCGCGCGTTCTCTCGTGCAATTTGCTTCGCACTTTCTCTCGTGCTTCTTTCTCTTCATGTGCTCTTGCGTTACTTGCTCTGCATGTCCTCTTGCGAATCTTGCTCTGCATGCGCTCCTTTGCTACTTGCTCTTCTCTTGCTACTTGCTCTGCATGTTCGCTCGCGCTATCTGCTCTGCATGTGCTCTCATGCATCTTGCTCTGCATGTGCTGTGCTTCGCAGTGAAGCTGGCGAGTTTTCTCGGAAGAACCCTTTGCAACGCCCTCGGGAAAAACATGAACCAGATCAAAGCCTCCATTTGCTTGAGTCCCGTGGAAAAAAAAAATTAGAAAAAACAACTGTAGTGATAGATTCCCTTCAAAACCAACAGGGGAAAAAAAGTATTCTTAACCAAATGGAAGAAAGCCTTCGCCTCTTACTTTGCAAGATTGGCCTCTCTAAGCCCTTCGCTCTGAGGCTCAGGGCCTCTAGGAATTCCTGCTTTGCAAGCGGCGCCCAAACCACTTACATACTGATGGTTGCGAAATCCATTCACCGCACCACTTGGGGTTTCCAGGGCTGAACCCATAACGTTTCGTTGGTATTTGCGTTAAAAAATCATCCGGACCCAGGGTCTCTGAGGCGCGGTTGATGGATTTCGCAACCATCCACGGTATGAATCCCTGCTAAACCAGTCGCACAAGAGTGCCCTGCAACAGCCCCCGCATTTCGGCCTCCTCTTTAACGGCAGTCGTGTTTTTTTCTTGTTCTTTTCTTTTTTTGCGCGGGGGCGTTTTTGGGATCAAAGCCTTGGGCATTTACTTTGATTCATCTGAGATCTGGGAATCCGAGATTCTTGAAGAAGTATTGGCAACACATTTGGACTTGGCAGTTCAAAATTAAGCATTGGAGTTCTGAGATAAAGTCTTGGCAATACGAAGTTTAGAATTGGCAATTCAACATCAAGCACGGGGAGTCTTGCCAATTCGTCTCTTCTTTCCTGTTTGCTTTTGGATGTGTCTCAGGATCCTTTCACTGCAGCGGAGAGAAGAGGAGCGGAAGGGAAGGGGAGACTCATCCATTGGCCGCTATCCGTCCATTCCTTCGTCATGTCCTTTCTGTAGTAGCGGTTTACCCCGTCCTAATGTCTCTCCGTTGCTTGAGAGGGAAATAACCAGAGGACGGTGAAAGAGGGGAAGTGCTTGGTCTGCAGTCTATCTCTTGTCCCTTCACTTCCCCTTCCTACGTTCTACATTTAGAATTGGCAAATCTAAAGGCAACTACAAGCCCGACCCATCCCACTTTTCCGCCAAGAGGCTCCAAATGACTCTTGGCACTGGGGGGAGTCCAACCAGTTGCTGTCTTCCCCCCCACGTCACATCCGGTCCGCGCCTGAATCGAGCGAGCCACGTGGGCGAATCCCTCCAGCAGCCCTCCTCACCATCGGCTTGGCAGGGGCAGGCGCGGAATCCTCCACGGCGGCGGCGTGCTTCGCGCCCTCCTTCGACCCCTTCCGCGGCGACTCTGCCTCAGGTCCTGGAAAGCACTCCTTGAGAAACGCGGCCAAAGGCACGGAGATGCTCAAGGGAGTCAAAGAGGCCAAGATGGAGCAAGCACCCAAAATCCAAAGCAGAAGGAACCTTGCATGGTGCCCTGCATGGGCTGACTTTGAAAAGCGGCGAAAGGTCTGGCTGTCCAAAAAAAAAAGCCTCACAGGGGCGCGCGGTGGCTGCGAAGAAGCGTCTGCGGCAAGATCCGAAATCTTGCGTTCACTTCTTTCCCTCAAGCCTCGAAAGCCTCAAAAGCCTCAAGCCATCAAGCGCCTCAAGCGGTCCTGACAGGTGCACGGGGATCCGCTGAAACGGCACCATGTCCTCCTCCACCCTGACATCTTCGACGTCCACAGGGATATTCTGGACCAGTTCATGGAGATCGCCTCCGCTTGGAGCCGATCTGCTCCAAGAAGCACCGTGACCACTGACCCCGCGAAACAAGGAAGCTCAGAATGACCCCATATTCATAAGCCCCTGTTCGTTTATATCCGGGTGTGTAGCGGTGTTTGCTAGTATGGGCGTGTCCCCCCTGTTTATGAATATAGGGGTCTCCCCCCTGTTTATTGATATGGGGGTGTCCAACTGGGTGAAATGTGGGGAAGCAGACCACTTTTGGAGGGGCCAAAAACCACCCCCTAGTAATAAACATGGGGTTGATTCAAATGGGGCCAAACATGAACACGGAAGGTGCCCAAAAACACACAAGAGTTGTTGAAGGCCGCTCCGTCAAGGTTTGGGCCGAGACCATCTCCAATGAACCTGTAATTGAGGTGGTTGCAACAAACCCCAAAGGCAAGCCGAGTGGCGGCTGCGATATGCGTAGACCAGGAATTCACCCAAGGTCACAAACCCGGACTTGTCGGCATCTATCCTTCCAAGGTGACAAGCCGGCAAGCGTCCACACGGCGACGAGGGTGAGATAATGTGGGTTGTGTCCCCATGTTGGAGGAAAACCAAACATCAAAGAGCTCCAGCATATATGTTCCTTTTCACCTGCAGATTTGGTAACAGAAGCCACCCTCATCCCAATCCCTAAGCCCTCATCCCTCACTCCCGAATCCCTTGGTTCATACTGCACCCTCCCTAGTTTTAACTGCGGAATTTGTCCAGAGCCGAACCAGCCTAATCTAATCCAATGTTGGAGCACCTCAAGTTGCATATAGAGAAACCACCAAAGAACATACCATAGAATATACCAAAGAACGCAAACTGGAGCGGAATCTGTCCATGGCCGAACCAAACCTTGGTTGCTGTTGAAACTTGATTTCCCAAAAAGTTATAAAGTCTAAAGATCCAACCCAACAATCGCCGAAGCAAACCAAGCCTCCAGCGTATGCTTGCGGCCCGTCCCGGAAAAAAAGAGGGGAAAAAAGGAAAAAAACGGAAAAAGAACGACAATGTTGGCCCCCCTCCAGCGGATTTTTGCGGCATCCATCCATCAGTCAGCCGAACCGCCGAACCGCCGAACCGCTCACCGCTCCTTCGGAAGATGTCCTCCGTGGCCACCTCCAGCTCCATGTCGCTAGGCACCACCGCCTCGGTGAAGAAGAGCCGCAGGCCGTGCAGCAGGGACCGCAGGCCCAGGGTGAACTCCGCCTCACGGGAGGACCCCGGCCCAGCGGCAGGGATCCAGCGGGAGGACCCGAGACGGGACGGGAGGGGAGGGACCCTCCCAAAAAACTCAAGGAGGTTAGGAGACCCAGGGATCCAACCGGGAAACTCAAAAACTAAAACATGAGAATGGTTGAAACATGCTTGAATTGCAAGGACGTCCCGCAAAAAAAAGAAAAGCTCAGGTGACATCCCCAACAGCATGCGGTGCTTTTTTAGTGCTCTCACCACCCCGCAGCCCTCGCAGAACCTCGTGGAACCCTGGTGGAACCCTCGTGGAACCTTACCTCAGGGCCGCCCCGGACCACCCCGGAGCCTATCTGGGCTGAGACCCCAAAGCTTTCAGCTGTTGGGGGGAGAAAAAAAAGATCCTGAAGCGACCTGGTGCCTGTGTGCACCAATTACGATCTGGCCGGGTCGCGGTGACACGAGCTCAAGGTGAAGGTTGTTACATGTTGTTCCCTGGGATTCCTTACTTCCAATTCGTATAGTTATCGTAGTTTGCCCAGATTGCCTTGAGGGTTGCTTCCTAGGACCCCCAATCAAAAATCAACCAGGGATTCCGGAATCCTGAGTCGACACCGGGAGAGACCCTCGGCAGCAAAATGGCCGGGCGCAGTTGGCGTGCCTTGGGCCCTGCCCCCTTTTGGATGGGGGGGCCTCTGGCTGAACCCCTCCGGCGCACTTCTTTTCCCCCGCTCATGTCTCTTGTTCCCAGCGTCCACTTTCTTTGCGCCTTGTTCAAGGTGCCGTCGCCGTCCATGTCAAAGATGCTGAAGAGCAGCGAGACTCTGGAAATGAAAGATTGATTCCTCACCAATACAACTTGAGCGGGGCCGGTGGCAGCCGAGCTGCAAGAAGCCAAAAACCAGCTGAGTCTGGTGGTCCAGGAGGCCCCGCACATCAAAACCTTCCTAGAAAAAGCCAAGTGAGAGCCTCCATGCACCTTCAATCTGGCTGAAAGAGGAAACTGAGGGTCTCTCCCGGTGTCGACCCAGGATTCACAACCTCTCTATTTTCAGATGGGCAAACTACTATATACAACTTTCTGAATCAGACATAAGAAATCCCCTGGAAAGACCAAGCTCGCAAGGCTACTGACGGCTACTGCAGCCCGGGCTGCGAAGTCACAGTGGCCGCGGCAAAGATCGTATTGCCATCCAGCTTTCCCTGAGCGCTCGAAGGGGACTGATCCAAGCCGGGCAAATCCACCAATTTGCGGCCGGTGGTATATGGTGTGTGGGTCAAAATCCAAATCGTACCCCCAGTGAGCATCCCAATCCCCACTACTAAAATGGGTGCACCTAGCCCAAAATGGGATCCCATTCGTTTTGACCCACAGCCATATCCTGAGACCTCTCCAAATGAGGAAGCTGATGCTTTTCCGGTCCAAGCTCTTGTTTTTCTGGCCCCAAGCACACCAAGCGACTGCTCGACAGCTGGTTGTGCAAGAAGTTACACCCCTGGCTCCCCACCTTGTTTTAAGCCCCTTGCTTGGGGGCCACGCCCTTGCATACATTACTTACCCCTAAGAGCAACTCGATCTTCCAGGTGTGGCCGTGGGTCAAAATCCAAATCGTACCCCTAGTGAACATCCAAATGCCCACTAGAATAGGTTCTAAAATGGGTGGTGAAATTCAGCTACCCCAAAACCCCAAAACTAAATCCCATTGGTTTTGACCACCACGGCCATATCCTGGGGCTACGCCCGTGCATCACTTACCTTCCAGGTGTTGGGCTAGTCAGGTCCTCGCCTTCTTGGGCTGAAGCGCCCGGAAGGCCGCATCCGCAAAGGTGGTGTCGGGGAAGCACTGGAACACGTCGGTGAACTGGTGCCGGTCCAAGGTGAACTCGCAGTGGTCCAGGAAGTGCCTCAGACCCAGAAATTTCGGGCCGGCTGAAGCCCCAGAGAAAAAAAAAACACACATGCGCTCTCAAAACGCCCGCGGGGGTGATTGCAGCCCGCGGAACCGCCGGAAGACCAAGTGAGCCCTAAACTCCAAAAAAAGACAAAGGGCTCTCACCAAGATTGATGCAAGCGACTCAGATGCCCAGCCTTTGGAAAAAAGAGGCTCGGCGTCCTTTCTTTGGGTTGCTTGCCTTTACAGGAATCGCACAAAACCCTTCCCCCAAAAAAAAAGAGGAAGAAGAAAAAAAAAAAAAAAAGGGCGCACCCAATCCACTGGGCAACTGGGAGGCCCAGAGGCTCCGCCGGACGGATGGAGGGAGCCCGAGCGCTGGGGCCCCAGCTGGTAGGCCTGGATGAGACCCTCCCGGCTCCAACCGGCCAGGGCGGTGAGTTGCTGCTCCATCTGGGGCATGCCAAAGCCGCCCAGCAGGCCCCTGGACGGCTCGGGAGCCGAGGCATGCTGAAACCTGGTGGCTTCCCCTGCGCGGGGTCTAGATGGGTGTGATTTTCTTTCATGGGGGAGCCTTCGGTGGACATCAGCGGTGATTCATGTCCTCATGTCCACTCATCACTTTTCAGGTGGTGCCCCAAGCACAAAAGACATAGCCAACTTGCTCAGCACACCTCTCTCATAGTGTCATAGCCAAATCTCTGTTTTGTGGCCTGGTGATGTCCAGCCAGATGGCCATGGGTCAAAATCCAAGTCTCCCCCCCCAGTGAACATCCCAATCCAACCACTAAAATCGGCTCCAAAATGGGTGGAGAATTCACCGAGAACCCCAACATGGGATCCCAAAACGGTGTTTCCACCACAGCCAGATCTCCCTTCTGCGCATCGAAAAACGCCGCGTGCCGTGCGCAAGCCGCGCCTGGACCACACCTTGCTGGCGATCTTCCCCATGGCACGAGCTGACTGTCGAACGGTGAACCCCGTGGCAGCGCTAAATCGCGACGGGGTTCAGCTGAGTCGACTGCGCGGCAAACAAAAAATCTGCAACTCGTTGGGCTGCAAATGACGAAGGGAAACAGCTATGGGCAAAGGGCAAAGTCCCTCAACTCAGGAAAGCTCATGCGAGATGCAGTTGCATCCCGTGGGCGGCTTTGAGGTTCACGATTCCCGATTCGTGGGCGGAGTGGGTCGTCACCCAGCCCAGCTTTTCATCCGGGCCCCGGATCTCACTGCAACCCCTAAATTCGATCTGAATCTGTCCTTCAGCTGCTCTAGCAGTGTGGTGGTGTCCCGGTCGAAGCGCTGCACTTGACCCTCGGCAAGGTGCGTGGCAGAGACTGCCAAGGGGCTGAAGCCATGCTTGGACGGATGCCATTTGATGCCATTTGCCCAGGCGCCAAATGCAAAAAGAAGAATCGCCGCAACCAAAAGAACTTCTGGAACCCTTTGGCACGGGAGCACCTTTGCGCCCTTTTTGCTGGACTCGGGTCGTGAGGTGGCATGCGGCTCAGTGCCGCAATTCTCATGCGGTGTTTCCATCACCACCTCAATCTCAGCCAATGGCACGGGCAGTGCAAGCAGCTGGAATTCGAGATCTGAAACTGCCCCTGTTGGACCGGACAAGCCGCAAAATGTACAAGCCCGAGAGCCCTCACACGTACTGGTAGGTGAACCTTGGCTTGGCCAAAATCGAGCAAAGTCCGGGCGAGCTTGAACATGCTGACCGATGTTGCGGGCAAACTCATTTGCACGTCTTGACTGGCAGGGAAGGAGCAACGCACATGGCAAGGTCTCTGCCAAGATGCTTTCTGGCCTCATTGAATTTGGTCATCTCTTGGCCACTATTCATGAAGCCAACGCGGCCTTCTAAGGCATCTGGCACCTGAAACGACGCAACAAGTCTGGTATGCGGTGCCCGAATGGAAAAACAGGAACCGCCGCTGCCTCATAAACATCCCCCCCCTTCCGTCCCCGTGATGATATCAAGATGTATAAATACACAGTTTCTTATTGGGTAGCCAGCCCATGGGATGGTAGGCCACAATCCCCTCTTCAGACTGCAACTTGGAAGTTGATCTCTTGATTTGGCCACCGCAAGGCGGGAGCAACATGATGTCAGCCCGGACAGCACACGTCACAAGTCCGACCCTTCTTCCTGCTCTTCTCATTCTTCTCTCTGGCTTCAGCAGGATGTTGACATCGTGTTGGCATGGGATTGCTTCAGCATCACGGACCCCTTTGCCCCGCCTTGAAGATGCTGTCCTTTGGCTTCCCGCTCATGAAGCCGCACTTGCTTCGTGCGCTCGCCTCCCAAGCCCCATGCGCATGTTTTGATGAATTGGTTTGCGGGCTACCCGGTGGCAGTTGACCTTTCTTCAACAATACGATGCAAGGCGCATCACCTGAGCCACAATCAAAACCCGGTATTAAAATGGTGAACCCAGAACCATGTAAAGAATTAAGAAGGCGCCGCAGCTATTCTTGGCTGGGATTGGCCCTTGCTAACCTTCATCTACCCGGAGCAAGTGGCTCACCTGAACATCAGCTTCAGCTCAAGTCGCAGGCTCCTCAAAGCAGCCCCACCCACGACCAGCACCAGCAACATCACACGGACCGCCGGGCCTTTTTGTAGAAGAACTTCTGCCAGGCCGTCTGCGGCGCAGGCCGAAAAGTAAACGCTTCGGCCGGGTCTGGCACCACTGATGTTGACCCAGTTTAGCAGTAGGGGGGTGTCCCTGGGTTTAGTGGGGAATCATCCATTTTGGAGGGGAGCATCGCCTTATTAACAAACAGGGGTTTAGTAAGCCAGGGTCAACATTAACTCAAGGACTGCCGTCATGCCCCCCGACAACTGTACCCGCAAACTATAATCAATTGTCCATGTAAAAGGCAGAAATTCCCAGTATACGGGGTACAACCCACTAGGGTAGGCATACAGCCTGTCTACGAAATTCGCCCATCCACTTCGCGGAGCGCTCGGCCCATACGAAACACAGGTCATAGGTGAGATGTCAAGAACTCGCTGGCCGAAATTGTGAAAGCCCTTGGGGGCATGAAGCATGCCCAAAGCCCGGTATCACAGGCGGTGTGGAAAGATGCTGGACCAAGCTCAGATATCTCAGATGAATTACCCCTTTGCTCACAATTTACCCGGTTCAACAAGCAAACGACAGGGAACCACCATAGAATCGCATGTTTTTTAAATGAAAGCAGTGCTCGGCAGGATGCACCCAGTCCAAGAGAGGTGCTTAAGGAGCTCAAGGGCGCGCCTGCTGCTTGACATGCTCTGTTTCCAGCTTGTCCGTGCGCTGCTGCTTCTTGATTGCCTGAGCGGGGCCAGCCAAAAGGGGTGGTGATTGAAGTTTGAAGCAAGCCAAGCGGTGCACCAGCCACGCTCCGGCCCTGCCACCGCCCTTTTGACAAGTTGACCGGGCTTTTTTTTTTCTCCTAGGAATTGCCATATCAAACTGGCAGTTGGCTAGCCCTGATTCTATCATCCTGATTTCAATATTAATTTCAGGGATCTCGCCAGGATTTAGTTCACCCGTGTCAGTCCAAGGAGCGGTGATTTTCCTGCGCTTGGCATCGATGATATCCTCTGTGTCTGTCTTCCTGAGTCATCCCAAATGCGAAAATGCTGGGTTGATGTCAAACCCAACCAAAGATCCCAATGCCACCATTGCCCACTTGCACACGCACAGGACAATGGTGCTTTCCCCCCACCCGGAAAAGGCACTCGACTGCGTCCACCTCAGGAAGACACTTTGGCTACCTGAGAGCTACAGGGTAAAGCCCATTAGTCAGCTCCTGTTTGATCTGCAGATTTTTTTCCCAGCTAGGCGATCCTCTTGCTGGCTCAGTAAGGGATGAGGGAATGAACCAAATTCCCTCAAAGGAAACCACAAGGATGGTTTATAGGGGTCATTTCCTCATTCCCTGCATGAAAGAAATCCGCAAGGGCTTTTGACCGGACGGGCCAAGCGGCTGGATCTGCATGCTCTCCGGAATCTTATAGCCCGCTGGGGTAGTCACCTCGTGCGCCATCAGAAAAACACAAACATTGGAGCTATCCAAACTTCATCAGGAACCTTTTTTGTTGTGTGAGCTCGCTTCACCCCCAGGTGTGCTCATGACAACTTGCGAAGCATGAACGGTGGAACATCGTCCCTGCTTGGCATCCAAACTCCAAATCTCCCCCCCCCCAAAAAAAAAACAATAAAAAATGATAAAGCCAAAAGAACACAACAAAGGAAGCACAACACAACAAAGGACGGGCTTCCCCGACCCCGCGCCCAAAGCGCCCAAAGCGCCCAAAGCGCCCAAAGCCCCCCCCCCCCCCCCCCCCCCCCCCCCCCCCCCGCGGCCGCCCAAAGCTCGCGCACGCGGCGCGCGCGCAAGCGCCTCCTTGATGGTGCGCTTGGCCGTGCCCACCTTGCCGCTGCTCTGCAGCCGGATCTGGTCGAAGCGCACCTCCGCCTTGCTGCCGTAGTCGATGAAGGTGATCCTGGCGTAGGGGTTTACCCAAATCGATCCCTGGCGACTGCGAAACAAAGACACAAAGGAACTAAGAAACACAGAAACAAAGAGACACAAAGGAACTGAGGAGCTAAGGAACAAAGGAACAAAGGGGCAAAAGGGCAAAAGGGCAAAAGGGCAAAAGAGAGATACCGTTCTTGAAATTCCCGAAAGGAAACCACGAGAAATGGATGGTTAGGGTTCATTCCGTGCCCCATTCCCTGCACCTCTCGAACCAGCAAGCTTGTGAATGAACCCGACATAAACCAGCCGACTGGTGGTTTCCTTTGTTTGGGAATCCTAAAACGATTCATTCCATTTCTCATTCCCTGCCTATCGCAACAGCAAGTTTATCCAAAACCAGCTCCAGACCAGCCACTTTAGGAAAGCCGGGGAAAAAAACAATAATAAAACCTGGAGGTCAAAATGCCGAAGCTGAGGCTTGGCTGCTAAGGTTTCCCATTTTGCCCTCTATAAAAACCTGGAATTGAAATCCCCAACCACCAATCCAAAGCACCAAGGGTTACCTGAACATACGATCAGGACATGTTTTCCTTCCGCCGGAACTGGAATGGAATCAGACGCGACTTGCCAAGCCAACATGGCAGGCCGGCTGCCGGCTGAAAGAAAAACTGGGGGGCAAATGCCAGGGCACTTGTAGCCCTTCTCCGTCTGCTCCGTGATGACCTGGGAAAATCTTGGGCCCTCAAGCTCTCTCAGCAGCGACGCAGCAACATGCCAAAGGCTCAACCTGGGATGCCGGCGCAGTCATACCACAGGCCATCCTCTGGGAAAATGGCCTGACACGCTCCACTGCCACAGTTTCAGATGCGAGGCCTGAAGATGTGCCCTGACAACATATGCTCCTCCCGGATGAGCCCTTACATTTGTGTTTCCCCATGTCGAAACTCGATTCTCGCAAAGCGGCAGGCAGCGCTGAATGTGCCATTGTCCACTGGCTGTGGGCGGGGTGCTCGGTTCTGAGGGAGGGGTGAAGAACGCACATAAGTAGGTGTCCTTTTGGGGTAAATAGATGGCCCTGGTAGATGAATAAACCACCAGGTAAACCAGGACCACCTATTTATCCACCAACACAACCAAAAAGGACACCTATGAGAACGCCGCACCGGCCTGGCAGCGCGTGCCCGGCTGGCACTGTGCGGGGTGCGGCGGACGCAGCAGCCGCAAATCCGTGACCTCAGCTGAAGCCGTCAGTCGGCGCCATTCGATCCTCACCTGGGCGGATCGAAGATGCCGCGCGCCTTGAACTCCCGCTGGTTGGAGAAGCCAATGAACTCTACCATGGCGCGCTCCTGCCCGCGCTCATCACGGCGCACTGATTTGATCTCTCCTCAGATGCGCAGATGCGCAAATGCGCAAAACAAGCAACTTGACAGGTTGACAGCTGAGCGGCCATTATACCACTTCTGCTCAAAGAAAGCTTCGCAGGTACGCCCAATCAAGGCCGTGTGCACAGATTTGGCCGCCTCAGCCACATGTTGGCCAGAGGTGCAGCTGATCTTGTACTGCAATCGGGTGGCACGTGAAAAAAAATGAACCTGAATGCCGAACGTTGCCAAGTCGCTGAGCGAGAAGTCACTGGCTGCCTTGGTGCTGGACAACCCGCGCATTCATAATACGCTATGTGTGAATGTCTCTGCCACAGGCGACGCTGGCAGCGGTAAGGGGCGTGGATCGTCAATGCTGGTTCCTCTAACCCAGGCATGCCTTTCTTCCTGGAGTCTATCGGCTATGCTTTTCCCGTTGGCGTCAGGCCATTGGCTGTCAGCTATCTGCTTGCCCCGTCTTTACACAAGAGACAGACAGAGACAGACAGACGCAGACGGAGACAGACAGAGACAGACAGAGACAGACAGAGACAGACAGAGACAGACAGAGACAGACAGAGACAGACACAGACAGACAGAGACAGACAGACACAGACAGACACAGACAGAGAGAGAGACAGAGAGAGAGAGAGACAGACACAGACAGAGAGAGAGACAAAGAGAGACAGACAGAGACAGACAGAGACAGACAGAGACAGACAGAGACAGACAGAGACAGACAAAGACAGAGACAGACAGAGAGAGACAGACAGAGACAGACAGAGACAGACAGAGACAGACAGAGAGAGACAGAGAGAGACAGAGAGAGGCAGAGAGAGAGAGAGAGACAGACAGAGAGAGAGAGAGAGAGAGACAGAGAGAGAGAGACAGAGAGAGAGAGAGAGACAGAGAGAGACAGAGAGAGAGAGAGAGAGACAGAGAGAGAGAGAGAGAGACAGAGGGAGAGAGAGAGAGACAGAGAGAGAGAGAGACAGAGAGAGAGAGAGAGAGAGAGAGACAGAGAAAAAAGCGAGAGAGACACAGAGAGAGAGAGAGAGACACAAAGAGAGACAGAGAGAGAGAGACAGAGAGAGAGAGAGAGAGACAGAGAGAAAGAGAGAGACACAAAGAGAGACAGCGAGAGAGAGACAGAGAGAGAAAAAGAAAAAAAAACAGCGAGAGAGACAGAGAGAGACACAGAGAGAGACACAGAAAGAGAGAGAGAGAGACAGAGAGAGAGAGAGAGAGAGACAGAGACAGAGAGAGAGAGAGACAGAGAGACAGACAAAGAGACAGACAGAGAGACAGACACAGACAGACAGACAGACAGACAGACAGACAGACAGACAGACAGACAGACAGACAGACAGACAGACAGACAGACAGACAGACAGACAGACCGACCGACGGACGGACGGACGGACGGACGGACGGACAGACAGACAGACAGACAGACAGACAGACAGACAGACAGACAGACAGACAGACAGACAGACAGACAGAGGCAGGCAGGCAGGCAGGCAGGCAGGCAGGCAGGCAGGCAGGCAGGAAGGCAGGCAGGCAGGCAGGCAGGCAGGCAGGCAGGCAGGCAGACAGACAGACAGACAGACGCGCACACACACACACACACACAGAACACACACACACACACAGAACACAAGCAAAAAAAAACACACATACACACACACATACACATATGTGTATATATATATATATAAACAACACACGCGTGCCTGCGTGCACCCTTTCGATGTCAGAACTTGTTCGATCAGGACCTCCCCTTTCCCGTTGAAAACTTCTGAGGAATGAAGGCAGGATGGAAACCCTAGCAACCTCCTACGCATTTGTAGAATGCAACCTTGATTTTTGGAGGACACACCTGTTTGCCGAACCTCGATTTCCTACATATCGCCACTGACCTGGCTAGATATAGTTCCTCTACCCTAGGGATGGAAAGCACAGAACTTGGCCGAGATCTGATGCGCATCATCTTTTTGCGTCTTGAAAGTAGGGTCATTATTTTCCTCTGATGAAACATTCGGGGATGCAGTAAAATCTTGGGATATTCGAGGATGTGCCGCAAAATAAAAAGTCCCAATCCTCCAATATTGGGTTTGGAAGTTTCCCCCCCTTTTCTGTGGGCTCCCTCGAACAGAGCGAACAGAGACGCCCCCCGCATCTAAGGCTGGAAGTGCATACCCCTCGTTCATACCCTTTGGCTTCCCAAGTGCACAGCCCTTTTTTGGGGAGAGGGGTATGAACCTCAGGCCTTTTGAGTTCATTTGTTCCAAGTACTCACTTCCTGAGAGGATGGCCCTCTCAAGAAGTCCAAACTGATTGAATAAACCACCAAAATGGTTCCAGCAACTCAGAAAGTGAGGGTATGACACAGGGTTCCACTTTTTGACTCCCCCACAATGAGATATCAACCCAGGGTTTTTGTGATGTACCCCAAAAAGGGAATGCTTAATGTTAAGTCTAAATTGCAGGTAGTTAGAAAAAATGGAAGTCTAAAAAAAGGAACCCTGTTCGTTACAGTCCAGGACATCGCTAAGCTGTCCAGCTTCGACCCAGCACCCCCGCATTGCCCCATGCGACCCAAGGGGCGGCACCACGGAGGCGCGGCCTGTGGTGCCGGCGGTCTCCGCCCCCGCCTGCTCCGCCTCTGTGGGCGCGGCGGCCTGCGGGACAAAAATCGCGTGAGACGGGAGAGACACCAAGTTGGCGTCCTATGGCTTCCCCTTGCTTTGCCGTTGGTTTCTATAGGTGTCCTGTGGTTTTGGCGTTGCTTTTTTGGCTTTCCTATGGGTTTCTTATGGGTTCCTGTGGGTTTCCTATGGATCTCCTATGGGTTTTTTATGGGTTTCGTATGGGTTTCCTATGCGTTTCCTATGGGTTTCCCATGGGTTTCTAATCGGTTTCCAACAAAACCCCTGCATAACCCAAAGGTAAGGATCAAGGATTGCCTTTGAGCAGCCCAGAACAACAACGTGCACAAACGAAAACCACCATGTTGGGGGCTCCCCGGATTCGACACAAACCCTCAGAGACACCCCAACACAATTGGAATTGAGGAACAACTGTTGGGGAAGTTTTTAGAAGCTAAGGACATTGCAGTTTTTACATGGTACTTTCTAGGAAATGGCTCGAAATGGGCACCAACCTTGGGGTCCAAAGCGTCCCACCTCGAGTCTGGTAAGCTTGAATCTCAACTGAGTGCCCGGGTTCTCCCAATGAAGGAATCCCTGCCAAATGGCACTGCACCCTATCAAGCAGCCAAGAGGTCTTCGAATCCTGGGTTGGAATCTATCCCAGCCAACCGGGTAGGGAAACAACTATGCCCAAAGCGATATCCCTTTGGGCGGAAGCCGGCTCCCAATCCCGGTGAAGCACGCTCCCAAGCGCCTAGGTTGGCTTTGGTTCATGAAACCGTCAGGCCTTGAGGGATCTAAGTCCCGTGGAAGGTGTCGAGTTCGTTTGGTCATGGCTGGCGCCGTTCCCTCTGCCAAAAAGCCTTTGGTTTGAGGGAGTTGGCAGTGAAAGCCCATGAATCTTGCAACTTCTTGAATTTCTAGTGAGGCGAATCCGCTGGTGCACACAAAAGTTGGCGCGTGAAGTAGGAATCAAAGTATTTCAAAAGATTAGAAAACCGTTAAACCTTGAAGTCCTTGCTTCTCCCCCCTAGCGCAGGGGGAGTGAGCCACAGCTCCGGGCCTGATACTTCACCAAATCTTCTGTGAGCACGATGACCTGCAAGCCAAAGGCGTGGACAAAGTCAACTCTCAGCTTCCCTGGTGGTTTGGTGGACCCCGGGGTGGTTTCCCAACTCTGCAAGAACCAGGGCTTCAAATCCCCAAACCACCGATCCACACCACCAATTCAGGGTAGACTGGCAACCTGAAACTCCGACTCAAACAAAAGGGGGGGAAAAAAACAAAATAGCAAGTCGATGAGGCGGGGGGATGCTGACTCATCGATGTTGCGACCTCTCTATGCAGGTCTCGCGGAACCTTTTCTTGCTCATCTGGCCGTGGGTCAAAAAAAAAAGCACCCAAAATGAAACCTTGGTACATGGAAACGTGGACTAAAACGCCTGCGGTCCAACTCCTGGGCGCTTATGTTGACCCATCATCTGGCCTCCGTGAGGTCATTCTTCAGCTTCACCAGGGAAGGCTCATCTGGCTGCTGCTCTAGCGCCTGTCGGATGCCCCCTTCCCCCCAGCCCCCCGCCCAGGCCCCCACTTCGGTAGGTCCCCATCACTAAACTTAGGGGAAACGGCCGGTTTTCGAAGAGAACGATGGTTGAACAGAATGGGGAATCACACCCTGGAATTGACGATTTTTTCGGCAACGGAGCCCCAAGAGGTTTGACCAAGCAATTGGGGGTTCCCCGCCAAAAAAGGCAGAAAACCCCTCCCAGGTGTCTGAACAAGGGTCACCTGGACCTGCCCTTGAAAAGGTGCAATGCAGTTCCAACAAAACCATCACCACTTCCGAATATCCCCCCCCCCCCCCGAGAAAAAAAAAGAAAGAAAAAACAAAGTTGTACAACGTGCGGCATCCGCACTGCCAACAAAAAAAAGATCCCTGCCAACTGGACAGGCCAACAGGTGAGACACCCAACCCCCCTCCTCCTTCCGGATGTCCACCCCGGCTGCTTAACCCCGACTTGCCTCCTCGACCTGGGCCAGCTGCTCTCGGTAGGTGTCCAGCTTCGTGAGCAGCTCCTCCGCCGACTGGCTGAAGTCCATGCCTCGCGCGTTCGAACGTGAGGTCTCACTCGAAAAAGGTGGGCCTGAGCTTGGACCCTGACCCCCCCCCTGAAGCGCGCTCGAAGGAGTTGGAACCCTGAACACCTGAGGTTGGAACCCTGAACACCCCCCTCCCGTGTCGAAAGGAAAAAAACAGGGCTTCCAACTCTAAGGCCCACAAAAAATGAAGAAACAAATGAAGATCGCGGCCTCAAAAGAAGACGAGCGCGCACACCCGCACACGAGAGAGCGGCTCCGTGCCCTCGCGCCTGCAACGCTTCTGCGCTCCCAGGCGTCACGCAGCAACTCGAGGCGAGATAGCTGCGGGGCGGTTGCGCAAGGCGAGCGGCTCGGAACCCGGTCACATCCCGCGTGAGACTCTCAAACCCCAGAAGTGCCCGTGGCCTATGCTTGCGTACTCCCTGCGAGATGTGGTCAAGAGCTGTTTCCTCTCAAGGGCAAAACCTGCAAAACCTGCTCAACTGCGACACGACAAAGGGGCTTGCCCCCTCCCAGTCCCAAATCTTCAAGTGCACGGCGCTGCTGGCGGATCCGAGCCTGGGCCGCCGACAAGCAGCCGCATAGAAGCCATGTTTCCCACTTGGGCTGAGCACACGTTCCGATCTGCCAAGGCAAGGGTCACAATGAACTCAGTGCCTCAGGACATGCGCCAGTCAAGCGGCAGGATTCCACATGAGCCGTCCAAGGCAAACACCTTTGGCGGCCGGAGGGCCGGCGATCACCTGCTACTCCACAAAAAAAAAAAAGCGCCGACCGAAGGCTGTGCTGCACCCCTCCTGGTCCACACTGACCTTGTCACCAAAGCGGTGCCGGCAAAGGGCATTGACCACCTGGGAGCACTTGCCATAATGTGAACCTCGGAATCCGGATCCTTTTCCTGGGTCATCCTTCTCATAAGTTGACCTTCCTACAGGAAACCCAGTCCACGGCAACTAGCAACTGGCCACGCGCCTCTACGGAAGGCCCCCGTGGACCATAGACAAATCCTAGATAGCCAAGTTGCGATCGCTTTTTTCCGTCACTGTTGCCGGGTCTTGGGGCAAAGCGCGTGGCAAGCGTGGCAAAAAGCAGCAGCTGGCGATCCGGGATCATGCTTCTCCGCTGGCCCCGGGGCCGCGCACGTTCCGCGCGGTGTCCTCGGTCTTCTCCGCCACCCAGGCTGCGTCCACCTCCTCGCCCGCTCAAAACGGCGGAAACACGCCAAGGCGCCGATCGAAACGAGGCAAATGGCTTTTACATTGCTCGGGATCTCCATGGATCAGGCCATCTAAAATACCACTCCCCCCCCCCCGCTCCCCGCCCAAAAAGAAGAGAGAAGGCCTTGTGAATTGGCTTCCGGGTAGGGTAGAACCGCGCTGCTGCTTGAATTCGGAAACGTCAACGACACCTTGGCCGAGGCCCAAACCGGCAGATCATCCGACTGCTCTGCTTGGGGCCCTCCATCCTCAGCGCCGCATTCTCCACTCTGGAGACCAAACGGCGCAGCACTCAAACGCTAGGAAGCCAACCCTGTCTGCAATTCTTTGGCTGCGGGTCAAAAATAGGTAAACATGGAAAGACATGGAACCCTGGTGAATGGAAACATGGACAAACAACCTGTGCCCTGGTGGTTTAAGTTTGACCCATCTTGCAACATGTGAGGAATCCACTGCAGCTTTCAGTTTTAGCACCTACTTGCGGCCGTCCATTCCATGCATCCAAGGGAGTTGTGCGCTGCTTTGCCGCGCAGCACGCCCAATTTGGGCGTGTTGCTGTTTGGGTACTTACTTTTCCTGGGGCCATTTGAAAGTCCAACCAAAAGGAAGCCTTACTGCATTAAATCCTGCATTAAATCAAAAACCCCTTCTCCAAAATTTGCGGAGCTTCCCCTCCAAATTTGAAGCCCATTTAGACAGCTTGAAAGAGTGCCACAAGGAAAGTCCCGAGTGAAAACGGCCGGCCCGCCTGGCACGGCCGGAGCGAAGGCTGCGCCCGCTTGCATTCTCATCCCTAGTCCAAGAAAGCGTCCTCTGCATGGAACGAGGACAAGGGCCTATGACTATGAATTTTAAGTCATGTCCACCAATCACTTTGAGATAGTTCCCTATCAAAATTCATGGGCCTATGTCAAATCTGCCGAGCAGGGCGCAGCCAGGGTTGCCATTGCATGCCCCTTCAAGGCTGAGCACCTTGATCAGCCCGCTCACTTCAGGAACTGTGACAGCCATTGGAATGCCTGGCGCTTGATGCTTCGCAGGCGGAAGTCTTGGAAAGTTGCAAACCGGAACATGGCCGGCTTATGCTAAACCCATGTGAGCGTCTGCCAAGCAGTTGACCCAGGATTGATAAACCCGTCCCAATATTAGGGGTGAAGTCCCTCCAAAAGTGGTCTGAATCCAACCACTGAAAGGGGACGCCCCACGATGAAAATCAACCAGGGGTTCTGCTTCCGGGGTTAGCATTACAATCCACTCATGCCACCGCGCGCCTCTGCATAGCCCATCCGCTTCACAACCTGGCCGCGTGTCGCTCGGTTGCTACGAACCAGGCCGGGGCGGCAGGCTTTACGGGGATGCGTCTTTTCTGTGGGCTTGGTTCGTCTCCAAACAGGACACGGAACCCGAAAAGGGGTGGTGCACACAAGGTCGATTTGAGAGCCCGAAAAAGGTCATCCAATCGATTTTTCGCCCTTTCCCACTCATGAATGGGGGCAGCGGCTTGCCCTAGCTCTTTGATTTTGAGCCACACCCCGGTGTCGCCCTGAAAAACAATACAAAAGCAGACAAAACAAAAATAACAAACAAATATGTTATTATTATTTTTTTAAAAAAACAAAAAAGAGCAATAAAAACTGACAACCCCCGTCGCCGCCCCTGCCCCTTTAGCCCCCGGCGCTGACCATGAAGAGCTCCACAGGCCGCACACCAGACTCCCCCCTCTTGGTGTCCTTAACAGAAGCTAGGACCCACGCGTCTGGGTGTGGGGGTCTCTTTGTCTCTTTGTTTGTTTGTTTGTTTGTTTGTTTGTTTGTTTGTTTGTTTGTTTGTTTGTTTGTTTTGTTTGTTGGTACCCTGCTTGAAGTGGAAACCAGTTGAAAAAGGCACCATGTTGGGTCGCCTAATTATTTACAGTGCCGACCACCAAGAAACCACCGGGTCGTACAAAAGGCCGTCTTGATTCTTTGGGGTGGTTGGGAAACTGGCGGAAGTGTCCAGCCATAAAAACCAAAATAAAACAGTCTGAAGCACCCTAAGGTCGTCACTCGCCCGTAGGTCATGTGGCCTCAATGCTGGCCGCGAGGGGAAGGCCACCCCAAAGGACAGCAACCCATGGCCGAGCCCAGCACTCAGCAAGCCCAACGCCTGGAGCGCTGGCAAGTGAGCGTCTACGCTGCTTCCTCTCTGGGCTGCTGAATCCCAGTCGAACTTGGGCATAGGGGCTCCGGCGTTGCGCAGCTCATCTTCGGAAGCAGCCGTCGGGATGTCAATCTTGTTTCCGAGGACTACAAAGGGCCTCGGATGGGCAAACACAGGAGGGTCATCAGATTGGGGGATCGAAATATTCCCTTGCAGGCAATTTTAGACTCAGCCTTCTTGGTGGGGTGATGTCGAAAGGCGACACATGAGGAAAGGGGAGCATCGATCGGACCTTCCCGGCCGAGACCCCAATGGCAAGTCTCAAGGAACTCCTCGAAGCCTGCTGGTGCAACAAAGGCAGCGCTTCGGTTCCTTCCGGCTGTGTCTTGTTTCGATGCCGTTGCGAGGTTGGCTTGGAAAACCACAAAAAAAGCACACGTTTTGAGCGCTCCCAAGTCTAGAGGAACAACCTAAACCGCCTACATCCCACTTGCGCGCCCGTCCCACTGAGCGCGTCGCACATTGGACAGCGCCTGCTCCTGCAGCAGCCCGCTCAGCTCCTCCTGCGCCTGGAGCTCAAAACCATCCCCCTGGGAAGCTTCGGTTTGGGGGGGGGGCGCCTTTTGAGTGGCCAACATGGCGAAATCCTCATGCTCTGGGCCTCGTTCTCGTCTTTCGAGCGTTTTGACATTGAGAACTTCTTGCATGGCCGGCGACTTTAAGCAAAGAAATCGAACGCCTCCTGAAAGCGCGTGCGATCTGCTGCATCCACCTCAGCTCCAAGCGGCGAGTAGCCAGCGGAGTTGTTTTATTGCGTGCGCCGGGAGCCAGCAAGGGGAAGACCCTTCGGGAGGGAGCACCCAGTGAGACGGCCCCAATGACCGCCTTACCCCGACGCGGGGTCCGGAGATACTCCAAAGCCTAGGGCGCAGGCCAGGAAAATGATACCGTCCACAGTGGCAAAGTAGTCCTGGACCCACAAGCCCCTGACCCCTTCACACGAATTCCCTGCTTCCAGCGCTGCAAGCGGCGCTAAAAAAAGCCCCTGGCCCCAGCAACTAGGCAGTCACATGCCGCAACATGTGTACAAGTCTGCCTCGGCATTGCAAGTGCCAGGCAGCTGCTCAAGCGCGCGAATGGCGAGTTGTCGCTCTCCAGGTCGTGCAGGGTCCTTCCAGATGCGCCGGGCCGTCTCGTGCCCGCCAAGATCATAGGTTCGGAAGCGGATGTTCTTGATCATCAGCTCCTCCACGGCAAGTGTCTGCTAAAACAAATGCCCGTGCACAAGAGCCATCGGGCTTCTGCCTTGCCACAGGTGATGGCAAAGTGGTGAGATCGAAGGCCTCTCAGTTACAGAAAGAAAAAAGACACAAAGAAAGAAAGAAAGAAAGAAAGAAAGAAAGAAAGAAAGAAAGAAAGAAAGAAAGAAAGCAAGCAAGAAAGAAAGAAAGAAATAAAGAAAGACAGAGGAGGGTATAGTTGGAACAATAGACAGGTAGATCGATGAATAAATAGACAGATGGCTGGATGGATAATATCAGATAGATAGATCGATCGCTAGATAGATGGATGGATAGATAGATAAATAAATAGGACAAACAGTGACTCATCAGACTGGAGCATGGTTTGGCACAAACATTTGCAGTCTTCCAAAACGCATGGAGTGGCCCGAAATTCAATGTAGAAGGATCTCAGAGGCTGGGTGGATGTTGAGCCCAAGCCAGTCCGGAAATCTTGGCTGTCTGACTTCACTGAACTTGCTCCATCCCTCGATTACAGGGCTCAGGGTGCTACCCTTGGAGGAGGCGGTGCTACGCCTGCGCAACAAAACATGGGGAATACATGCGCAATGAGGCAGGTCAGGGGCGAGAGAGCGGCATCTACCCTTTCGTTTTGCGCTTGCCTTTGCTTCTTGCAGCCACACCAACAACTCAATCACAAAACATGGCTGTGGGTCAAAAATATGTACCCAAAATGGGAACCCTGGTAAATGGAAACATGGAGTAAACCTGTGGTCCCATGGTGGTTTAATCTTGACCCATACCCACATGTGCTCCTCCGAGTGCGGATGGAGAGTTGGCACATGGGTTGCAATGCGGTCATCCTTCAGCATGTGCAGCCTCGGCGCCGATGCACACAAACACAACCGGGGCAAACCCAGTCGAGCGACTGGATTCGCATGCTTCGATGTGGGGGGGTGGACCAAAAGGTCTTTTACATGGGACGACCATGAAGGAAACCACGAAAAGAATGTTATTTCCCACTTAAGGGGGAGAAGTTACCCATGGTCACTTGGAGGCTAGGAATATTGATCAACACCCATGTGTTGCGGCCTGGTGGCAGAGTTGTCTTCCCAGCATTGTCCAGACCCAGGAAGAGGATCTTGGCATTCTTGTTGGACAAGCCCAGGTAGCCTGCAATCCCGGGTCATCTCGGGAGCTGGAAGGAACTTGCATGCCAAGGAGCCCAGCACATCGAAGAACCAGTTCACCAGGAACATTCTGACGCCTTGGATTGTGAACCGCTGCTCCCTCCTTTCACCCGCCCACCTTGAGCCAAACTGAGGGCCGCTCCTTGGCTGCCCTCAGGTTCCCTGCTTAGCCGCTTGATCCAGCGAGGCTGCCAATGTTCGGAGCTTGCAGCGCATGAACATTTGAGCAGACCAATTTGCAAGAAGTTGGGCTGAAGTGTCCAAAGGGTGAGGCGTGGAAAACCGGGCTGCACCGCAGCCATTCGAGTGCAAAGCGGCACACTGGGTGTACGACACGCATGCGGCGGAGGAACTCTGAGCTGGCAAGCTCCTGTCCAAACGGCCACAGGCCGATATTGTGTACCCTTGCCTCTGGGGTCGTACCCTTTTCGGCTATATACCGACCGGCAAAATATATCTAAACCTGTACATAAATATTCACCGTGAGCACATCGCTTGGGGCGAAGAGGCTTGTGGCAACAGCGATTGAAATAAACCTGGCAACCATGAAAAGCCTACATTGCGTGCCTCGACCGCCGACGGCGCCTCCACTTCCTCCTGCGCACCTGCTGATCCGAGGCTTCAAAGACCCGCGCCCCCCCTGGCTCCCAGGCACCTCCTCGGGCACATCGGGGCGCCTGCGGCTCCGCAAGCCAAGCTCAGGACGCGCTGCTTGCTCCAAGCCCTGCCCCCCTCTCGCCTTCCGGTGCGACATGGGAGTCAACGCGGCCCAGCGCAGGCAAGTCCGCGCCTGCCAACCTGCAACCGAAGCACTGCAAGACGAGAGAGAGAGAGAGAGAGAGAGAGAGAGAGAGAGAGAGAGAGAGAGAGAGAGAGAGAGAGAGAGAGAGAGAGAGGCGCCAAGCTGCGTGCGCCTTGGCCAAGCAGCTGGCACGCCAGCAAGGCCATGGGACCTGTGCGTTTGAGCATTCGCCCGACTCGCCGAAAGCCTCCTTTCGATCAGCCTGAGACGTGCCAGTGGACCTCCCGGCGCCTGAGCGCCACAAACCCCCGCGACACGTCGCATCACGCTGGCCCTGCCTCGGCATCTTCCCACTGACGTTCCAGTCTTAGGCGTGCAGCCGCACCATGGCGCGCACTGCCACGAGCGGGGGCTATGTGCAAACCCTTGCTCGCGGCTCGTGTCTGCAGGCTGCAACTTGCGTGTCCGCAACAAACCCAAAACCCCCCAAAACCACAAGTTACCAGTCTTACGGTGTGTTCCGGATGATCCCCTTGATCCCCTTTCGCATGATTGTCACCCGGCAGTTGGATCGACTCTTGGCTGAATGCGGGCCGAAAGAGCGCCCGTTGGCTTGCTTGCTGTCTGATTCCCCATCTGATCCGGAGACCTGCTTCGGCACCAGTTACCAACACTGGCATCCAAGAGGCCGGCACAGCAGCTCACTTTGGGCTAGCGCTTTGGGCGAGTAACTACGCTTAGCGTAGTCTGGCCAAACGTCTGCGCAAAGCAAAGTTTGCTTGTCGCAGAAAGCACTAACAAAACACATCGGGCATGCTGAAAATAGCACTAATAACGCGTGCAAACTGAAATAAACTGCCACAAAGCCGCCTGTAAAGAGTAGCTTTGGAGCAAGTCGGCTGAACTCAGGAGAATGTCAGAGGTGAGCCATTCAAAGGTCCTCTTCATTTCATTGCTTTTTTCTCTGCTTGACGTTCTCGCTGCACATAGGCCGTTCAGGTGTGGCTTAGGTCTCCTTGGAGAGGTCCAGTCAAGCCTCAAGGCACGGCCCCCATAGCCCCATAGCCCCATGGCCCTCCCTGCAGCCAAGAGGCCCAAGATTGAGATGCAATCAGCCGCTTGGGAGATGCCGGCGCGTCCAAAACTGAAACCTTGTCAGCCTCCGGCAATTCCGCGCGCCGAAACCGCGAAACCGCAATTTTCTTGAGGGTGGTCCTTTTGAACGTAGCAAATGCAGTCATTGACTCCCCCTTGGAACTCAAACTCGGGCCTTGTTGTTCAAAATGGGTCTGAACCGTAATTGGCTATTGGATTTATGCCACCAATGGTTTGGGGGCGTAAAACCCCTGTTGAAAGTCATAGCCACTTTACTACTTATGGTCTGTCTTCACACTTGTTCCCCGCACTCCTGGGCCCTAAAACGGGCAGAACGCGCGATCGCGCCGTGATCGCGATCGCATCGCGCCTGGACTTGCAGCTGGCCAAGCACTGAGCCCAGATTGCTGGCAGAGCCCGCCACGCTGAGGCGGTGTAGCCGCGCCTTTCCGTGGGGCAGGATGCAGTTGCACACTTCTGCCCTCAGATCCCCCGCTTTTTTGTTTGACTTTTTGTGGGCTAAATGGAAACTCCACTAGCTACTAAAAGGCTAAAAGGCTAAAAGGCTAAGAGGATGGCTGGGAGCCACCAAGACTTGTTGACCCCGGACTAAGAGAAACCCCAGTTTATGACTATGAAGGTGTCCCTGGTTCTAGCGGGGGATTCTTCGCTTTTGCAAGGGAACACCCCAACATGGATGAACCGGTTGTTTTTTCCCTCCGGGGTCAGCATTATTCACTTGCATTTGATGAAAGCTTCATCTTGGGACTCCAATGCATTCAGTGCTTCGTGACCCAGGTGTGACGGGGGGTTGGCTTCCAAAACTCCCAGCCTTTGCCAGGAGTGAAGGCGGGGCCGGCCCTAAGTTCGGCTGCGACCTGAGCAATCCCCGCACTCCTTCCGTGACAAGCCTGGTAGCGGAAGCTGCAGGAATGAAACAAACGGGCATGGGAATCTGGACATGGCAGCCATGCGAGCGAGGTTGAGCCCAGATTACTCCTCCCAAATGAAGGGGAACAACTTCACAAGGTTGTGACCCCTTCTCCTGGAGGGTGCGCTCATCCTAATCCCTAACCCCGGGGCACCCTCTAACAAAACCCCTTCCGAAACCGAATCCCAAGCCCAATCCTCCAAATTGGAGAACCCTTCCTATCCCAAACCGGAAGGATCAAGAACTATGGACCTCATCCGAATCCCCAACCCCTGGCCCTGGAGCAACCCCTGGCCCTGGAGAACCCTTCCTATCCCAAACTGGGAAGGGGTGGATTGCCGAGCCCCAACTCCACAAAATGCGTTTGCAACTCAGCGGCGCAAATGCCAAAAGCGACCAACGCAGCTCCAGGCTGAGGCCAAGGCTGCCGGCGCGCAGGGGCTTCCTGTCGCCAAGTGGTGGAAAAAAATATCCGCTCCCGCCAAAGCACCGCTCGTTGCTAGGAAAGCGACCCACTTTTTGCTAGAAGCTAAGCTCGAAAGGCCTCTCCAGATTCGGAACCCTTTTGATTTATATTGCCCAATATAAAGAAGCTATCAGCGCCAGGGAATCATAGAGGTTGCTCTACATCCTTTTAATCGTCAAGTCATGGAGAAAAAATGTCTGTTGGCTGGTTGAATTGTTGATCGAATCTGAGCCGTGGTGGAAACTACTTCATAAAAGCGCATGATGTGTTGTAAGTTGATTGTTCATAGAGCTTGCAATCTGGCTCGCAACCGCATCAGTCACCTGAGGTGCTGCAGCCCAAGGGGACGCCAGTTGGCTACTGGTCGCCAAGCGAAGCCAGCCTTTCTCTTCCCAGCACGGCTGAAATTCCTACGGGGTGAAATAAGTTATCCGCAGGCGTGTAGCTCATTTCATCGCCGAGATGAGCAGAAATCTGGGGGGTTCCGATTATCTTGAAGCTACTGCATACCATTTCCCACTTCGTGGTGTTGGGCAATTCAAGGTCCTGTGTGGTAGCAAGGACTCCTGTCCAAGGGCCAACCCCCTGACCCATGGCACGGTTCAAAACCAGCCAGCCACAGCGCCGCTGCACCGCCCAACAGATGCGGGCACGCCTTCTTGTTGTCTGCGCCCAGGGCCTCAGCCTCAGTGCATAAACCACCCGCCGTCGTTTGGAGGCATGGAGCTGTTGGAAAGTGGCAAGGGTTGCGCTGGCTCAAGCATCACTAAAGAGAGGAGTCACACTGCGCAGCCCTGGCTGAATCCAAAAATGCTGCACACTGCAAAGGAAAAAGCAACATGGACGCCTCATAGCGTCAAGCACCTAGATGTCAAAGCTTGCGAGAACGGCGGTGCTCCAGACATCATCGCCAGAATAGATGCCCGGCATCGCCGTGTCTTTGTTTCAACCGGCCCACCTTTTTGACACCGCGCCTTGTTGGCCTCGATCACAGCGATCACCTCGAGGGAAGCAATGCCCCGGGCCGACGCCCGGCGTCAGACTGAGGCTGGGGCCGGTGCGCTGGGGGCGCTCGGGGCCGGCGCGTGCACGGGAATCCGATGGTTCGCCTGCGCTTCGGAAGGTTCCCCGAGCGTTCGCGGCCCTTGAAAATTGAAGGCGCCCTTCCCCTCCCCCCCTTTCCGCCCCTCCCCTCCCTCCCCCCTCCCTTCCCCCCAAAAAGGAACGGGTTCCAACCCGGCGCTCTTTCGCGCCCCCAGGCCGCCGACCCGTTTCCCCAGATGTCCGGGGCCCGCGCTGAGGCCGTGTCCAGCGTCAGCTTCAGCCCGCGGCGCTCCTTCAGCGACGGGCTCAACGGGCTGCAGCTGCTGGCTGGGCTCAAAGCGCCGCCCTCCTGGCGGCAAATGGGCTGCACTCCTTGGGAAAGGTTGGAAACGGTGAGAATCTGCGGACCCACCCCTGGATGTGAAAAGAGTACTAAACGAGAAACAAACAAACACGCAAACAAAATAAGCTCAGGCGATATCCCCAACAGCATGCGGTGCTCTTTTTGGTGCTCGCACCACCCCGCAGCCCTGGTGGAACCCTGGTGGAACCCGCGTGGAACCTTACCTCGGACCACCCCGGAGCCTATCTGGGCTGAGACCCCAAAGCTTTCAGCTGTTGGGGGGAAAAAATCAAACGTGAACCTACAGGGGGAAGAACAGGTGAGAAACACACAAAAAGCGCATCCAAGCCGTGTTGGTCCTTCCCGTAAACCCAAAAAAAGCGACAGCACCCCTTAAGTGGAGACACGGGATTCACATGTGTGGCTGAAATGTCGCCACTGCAAGTTTGTACGGCAGGATGTATGCGTCCCTTGTGCAAATGGTACATAAGCTTGATGAATGGTGGGCAAGGGACATCAGAGAAGGGTCGCTTGAGTTGGTCCCGTGCTCCTTTCTTCCCAACTCTTCGTCTAACTGTCCGTTCTGCTCTGCTCAAGCTTGTTCTTTGGCTCACATCTGCATCTGTCTGCTCTGGTCGCGCTTGCTTTTCGCTGTCGTCTCAGCTGGTGTCTGAAGTGCACTGAGCTGTGTTTGTCACAGCGGCAGCTGATACTTTTTGCGCTTTGCCCTACATAGCTCCTGCGCGTGGGTCTCCGAGACAGGTGCCAATGGTTCAGGCGCCACCCTTAGTCGGCGCTCACACATGCGCTCACATAAGCCAAGGGCGGCCTAGACGTTGCAACTGACTTTCGGGTGGCTCAACATGGGTTGCGGCCACACGGCCATTGGTGAGAATTGTTCGCAACGCGAACCCACAAGCAACCTGAGGTTCTTCGGAACTCAACTTTTGGCTTGGCGAGTCACCTCTGGCTCGAGTTTACAAAAGCAAAAATCCAAAGTAGGCCAAAACGCCACACCAACGTTGGCCCCCCAGCAGCTCCCCAGCGGGGCCCAAGCAGCCTCCCCCCCAGCCCCAAAGCACGGCCGCGGGGCGCGAGCTGAAGCTGCAGCGAGGCCAGCTGTTGCCTGAGATGGCCGGTCTCCCCAATGCGCCCGGACGAACCCCAACCTAAAACCCACGGCCGAAGAACAAAATGGGGACGCAGCACCCGGTTCAGCCCCCAACTTCCCCGCAGCGACACAGCGGGGGAGTCAAAGATGGAAGCGAAAGCAACCGTGGGCAAAATCACCCGGCTGAATCCAGCCGGGGCGACTGAACCGTCGCCTATGCGCACGAACCACGTCTCCGAACAGGGCCGCATTGCGGCGGAGGGGCTCGAGCACCTTTGCCTCCGCACACTTGGCATCGTAGCGCTCCGCCAGCCACTGCTTCCTGAGCGCAAGGCCCGTAGGTGTCCTTTTTGGTTGAAATTAGATGGCCCTGGTAGTTGATTGAACCACCTGGTAAACCAGGAATCTCCCTCTGTGTTTCAACTAAATCAACCAAAAAGGACACCTATGGCAAGGCCTTGCTATCTTGTTTCTTGCTCAGCCAGAACCCGAGCTCAGCCAGTGAAACGCTGAATCCCACGGCGCAATGCGAAGGGAATCAAGGCTACCGAGCCACTCACGCCTTTCGCAGTCCACCATAGCCATAAGCCATGCTGTTTCCGGTGCGCCTCAGCGCTGAAGCCCGAATTGTGGAACACGGCTGCCCCTTTCCGTGATACTGCGTTGCTTCCCATGGTGATTGTCCCCAAAAGGCAAACTGGACGGTTGGTCGTGGACACTGGCCACATCTGGCCACGTTTTATGCGGCATTTTGCTGGCCGCAAGGCGCCGGCACTGAGGCAAGCTGGCGCCACCGCCCATGGCAACCTGAGGCGCGGCAAGCGCGGACGCTCGCGCGGGACAGTCAAATATTGCACCGAGGCCTCAAGATGCCTCAAGCGCGCTCCATTGCTCCAGTCGAGTGTGCATCCCGTTCAGCAAAAGTTGATTGACATGCTAGGCACAAGTGAATGCGGAGTGCAGGCGCCGCTGCGGTTTTTTGCCCGGGTCTCATGCATGATCAATCGGTCAATTTGTCAAGACCAACTTTTTGCACCCACTACCCTCTGAGTGGCGATGAGCGCGTAAGCCGGCGAAAGGCTTCCGGCTTGCTGTCGACCTTGTGCCCCTTGTCCCATCGCATTTGAATGCGGTTGAAGTCCTGTGTTTGGAGCAGACCTTGGGAGAACTTCCATCTGTGGCCATATTTGGTTGCCACCTTCGAAGCAATAGGATCATGGGTCATAATCCAAAGCCGGTATTAAAACGGTCTCCCCAGAACCATGCTCCAAAATTCATCGAAGGCGGATATCCGCACCCATTTACGGCCGGGATGGCCCCTTCCAACTACCCGGGTTTTGAGTGCGACTAGGTGGGTCGTACAACTCCTCCCCTCCACCAGCTCCAGCTCCCGCCTATTGACCCGACCAACCCTTGCCCGCCTTCGGCCGCCTCGAAGCCTTAGACTTCTGTGGGGTGACCCCGGCGGAGTGCCCCATCCGTTTGACGTCTGTTCAAAAGTCAGCGGTCTCCCGGTGTTTTTGTTGGAGCTTTCTGGAAAGAGCCATGCCCAGGGAGCCCGGCTTTTACCAGGCGTATTTGTCCCCTCTCTTTTCCCGCTTGACCCCAAGTATTCGGAAGCCATGCCTCGAATGAATGCAACAGAAACGGTACTTAGAACGGGGAGCTCCCTCCCGCGCTGGGCGCCCTTCGACCTGCGGAGGGGGGGCAGCGGCTCCAGGCTCGGCCTGGCGGCGGCGAAGTGCAGCACCTCCGTGGTCAATCGCCAGCTAAGCCCCGTGTCGAAGCGACTCTTACAAGTTTGGTGAATCCCAAACATAGGGCACCCCTCTTGCTGTTGCTCGTTCGGGGAGCAGGAGAAAAAAAAATATATATATATATATGTGTGTGTGTGTGTGTATATGTATATATATAATAAGCTCAGGTGACATCCCCAACAGCATGCGGTGCTCCTTTTAGTGCTCGCACCACCCCGCAGCCCTCGCAGAACCTCGCGGAACCCTCGTGGAACCCTGGTGGAACCCTGGTGGAACCCTCGTGGAACCTTACCTCAGGGCCGCCCCGGACCACCCCGGACCCTATCTGGGCTGAGACCCCAAAGCTTTCAGCTGTTGGGGGAAGAAAAAAGCAAAGCACCAACCCGTCTCTTTTTGTGGATCCTGGTGCGAAGCAGCCTTCTTTTGGACGCTCGCAGGCAGGCCGGCAGCAGGCAGGCCGGCAGATTTGCGGGCGGGCACGTGGGCGTGTATTTCGAGGGTGCCCCCCTTGCAGGGCTCATTCAAAGGAAGGATTTAAAGGATGACACCCATGTTTGGCGCTCGCCTTAGCGCATTGTGCTAAGAGACGGATCTGAAAAAATGTTTGGGGCCCCCAACTTAAAGACAAACCCGCGTGAGAAGGGCTCGCTCTCAGCCTTGCTTGGCCTTTCCAGGCGCCACCGAAATGTACGCCTTATGCGGTCTCCCATCAAAATCCTGCTTCAACTTGTGTCCCCTTTGCATCCAAAAGGGCAATGCTGAACAGCGCAAATAAGACATGGGGGCATAAGGGTGCCAACCTGGTTTTCCTCCTGTCGATTTTCGTAGGGGAACCGAGTCTCCCAACCAAAAAAGAAACGGTAGAGAAGGGCAGCGGGAGACCTAGTTGCATGTCACCCCAGGCCACCGCAGCCGAGGCGCCACCGCCGCCAAGGCGATGCCGAGACACGAGGCCGCCTGCTCCCAGCGGAAGCCGCGGCCCTCGTAGAGTTGCGCCAGGTAGCTCATCACCAGCCCAAAGGCGTAGGCCACGTACCTCGGAGTCCGATCCCCTCCTGTTTGTTTCCTTTTTTTATTTAGTTTGTTTTTAGGCAAAAAAAAATGGGGGGGGGGGGGGGGGGGGGTATGTTGGGCTTCCGTTTTTTTGCGTGTTCGCCCCCTGGAGAAGAGAAAAGGAAGAAAGAAAAAAAGGTCCAGTGTCAAGTTTTGTGGGGGTCCCTGGGATGAGGGCAAAAAAGGCAGGGCTCTAGGGGTTGATTCCTTTTCCTTTCTTTTCAACCATGGTTCTTTTCAGAAAAACCGGATCTGTTTTTCCCCTGGGTTTCTATCATGGTTTCCTACAAAGACTCGGATCCCTGGAAAGAATGGAAATGGAAGGTACCCCTAGACTTGTGGGCATCTTGGGCTTCCGTTTTCGCTGTTTTCAACAAAAAAGAAAACGAAAAACATAGGTCCAGTGAATGGATGTCCCTTTAAAGCCAACAAGGGAAAATAAGCCATATTCTTAAGCAAATGGAATTGGATGGCAGAGGGCCCCTCCGTCGGGTTCCATGTTTGATGGGGGTGTGTGTCCTTTTTCGGGGACTCCCCAAAAATGTAGCTTTCCTTTTGGCGTCCTCTGAAAATCATCTGGAAAGGGGTGCCCTCCGAAAAAGACGCACCTGTTTTTTGTTGTGGTCCTCTAGGAGACGGTGTGACAGCGAAAGGACACAACACCCACAGCAAACGGGCGATGCAGATCATCACAGGCACGACCGAGAGCTGTCCAAAACCCGCGGCCCGGGCGCTTTGAGACAGAGGTGAGCTTTCGCATCTGTTCTGCCACCAGGAAGTTGTTCAGGATCAAGCAAGCTGCCAGGATCCAGGTGTTCCCATCCCAGCCCCCGAAGAATGGCACCCTGGGATCTCCCGGCAAGGTGCTGGGCGGCAGGTGGGAGAAGAGGTGGCCATCCCAGGTACTCGCAAAGATGCGCCCGCCCCTCCGGCCTTGCCACGCTGCAACGGCCAGGGCCCCTAAAATGGTGGCAAACTTGAAGTGCACCTGCGTGACCCACAGCGGCATCGCCGAATGCTGCAGGAAGTACTCGGCATGCACCGCCCCTCCACAGCTGATGATACATTTGCCCAGGATGAGGGGCAGCGACCGGAGGAGCTCGTCAGCTGAGGCTGCAATCCAAGAGCCTTCTGCGCCAACCTCTCCTGCCACAACCGTGTCACCCAAGTCATGCACCACATGGCCCACGCAGAGCAGGGAAATGACCAAGAGCAGCAGCCATTGCAGCGCTGATTGGCCACGCCTCAACAAGACCCATCGCAGCAGTGCGCAGAGCGGCAGTCTCAGTTGGGCTGCCACCAGCAAAGTCGTGCCAGAAACGCTCCGCGCGGCGGCCAAGTCCATCAAATCCCCCACAGCATAGATTGCCCCCACCGGCAAAATCAGCCCAACCGACCTCCAATCCAGCAACAGCTGCACCCCGCGGCGAGTGGAAACTGCGAGAAAAGTCGCCAGCACACCCAGCAGCACTGTGAGGATGGCCTCAAACAGAACCACCGTAAACGGCTCATAGACATAATGGCCCTTGCACAGCTTGAACTTTGTCTCGCAGACTTGGCAGCTGGCGCCGGAGGCGGCAGCATCATGGCACGCCAGCGCGTCAAAGTGAGGCCTCGACAAGCTGCCGCCTTTCAGATTTGGAAGCAGCGCACTCATGCCAGCCACCAAAAGTACCCGAAACACCTGCTCGGCTTCCCTCATGCTAGACCCACGAGGCTTCTGGGCCTCTGGGCTTGAGCCGACCGGATCTCGGGTCGTGATTTACAGCAGCCCAGAGACTGAATGCTTGACTTTTGGAGGAAACACCCCTGATTTGACTGCCAGGTTGTTGTTTTTTTTCCGGGGATCACCTTTTGCGCGCACTGTCTACTTGTTCATGCAGGGCACCTGGTCGGCACAGGGGCCTCAGCAGGCGGTACCGCCGCAACGACTCTGCCACCCCAACTCGGACAACCAGGCGAACTCAAATGCCAAGCATCACATGGCATCAGCTGTCAAATGCCATACAACATACCAAATGATTAAACTAAGCACAGGTGCCAAAGACGAGGCCCTCAAGCGGTGGCACTTAAAAACCATACGCAACTGCGAGAGTTCCTCTTTTCCATGGCAACTTCGGGAACTCTGCACTTATGCCGATCACACTGGGCTCTCAGTCCTCCTTCTTGGAGGTGGGGAACCAGAAGGTGCTGTCCTGCTGGCGGCGGCTCGGATCCCTGCGTCCCGGCATGGACACCTCGATGGCATCGCCCGTGCTCTGCATCCACTTCTGCAGGCCTGGGTCCAACACAACTTTGGCCAGGCCTTCCTGCTTGAGATCGGCAGCTGGGACGATCACGCGCTGGCCCAAATACTTCACCTCGTACTCCTCCGCTCCAAGATGTTCGCTGCCACCCAGGTAGGTGGCCAAAAAGGGCGTGTCTCCCGGCAGCCGCTCAATCTTCACGATCGCCCCGTGCGGGATCTGCGAACCGGAGCCGGTGTACACCACCCGCTCGGCCACCCGGAAACTTCTTTCACCACGGCAGGTGCCATCATAGCGCGTGGACACCGGACTCTGCGGCCCAAGCTCGGCCACCGATATCATCTGGAGCAGCTTCAGGGGTGCATCCCCATATGCGGTGTAGAAGTCGAAGCTCAATCCCTTCCACATCTGATAGGACTTCGTGTGAGAGTACTGTGAGCTGTCCATGTCAGCCTCTTCCAGCGCAAGCTTCCCGGCTGCCTCTGCCTCTGTCAAGGTCATGTTCTTCTCGCCCGCCATATCCAGCCCAACCATCTGGAAGGTGTCCGGCGTCTGGCCTGCGGGGCATTGCCAGGTGCACTTGTGCAGGCCATCAGCATCCAGCTCGTACTGCAGCTCGCCAGCGCAGAGCACTGGGCCACACTCCTCCAGGCTCACAGCAGCAAGCCCAAACTGTGAAACACCCTGCGCGCGGTTCAGGACCGCCATGGCCGCAACCCTGCGCACGAGCTTCATCCGGGTCATGTCAGTCTTGTTGGCCCATTCGGTCCGCAACTCATCAAGATCCATGCCATCCTGCCAACGACAGGCACGCAACCCACCGCCAAAAAAGCAACAATCTCACATGGCTTGCCTGCCCACAAACCCTGTCCTCCTCCGCCAGTTCTGGCAAGACTTGCTTCATCTTCTGCAGGCACTGTTGCAGCTTGGTTTCCTCTGTGTTTCCGAACTTTTGCCCGAAAAGCCACAGGCCGAACCTCTCTTTGGCGCTCATCTCTTTGGACCTGAGGATCTCTTGGAAGTCCGCGGAGCTGAGCTTGGAAATGTCCAGCACGCTTGTCTTCTCCGGGGCATCCGCATCCATTGACTGCTGGCCTGGCTTACTCATCTGCTTCTGCATCCAGCTGGTTCTGGCACGCCCGTTACAAAATGTTTCGCAGCAACAGTGCTTGCAGAAGAGGCAGCAAAACAAAATATCGAGTATGGTGCACCTGTCCCCGGTGCCAGCCCCCAACCTTAGCCAATGCAAACAGCTCGCCCAGGTCCAGACATCTGCCCAAGATCCATTCATCCAATCATATCCCTGGTCTCTCCATGTGTGTCATCTCCCACCTAGCCTGTCCACGTCCCTGTCCTTCCCAACGCCGACCACCCGAACCATCTGAGCTCCCAGCTTCTCCTGGTATGCAGCCTGCACCGCCTCTGCCAACTCAGAGCTGATCCCCAGCGTCTGCTTGATGTCCACTTTTTGCTTCAGCATGGCCATCAGCGAGGACGACGACACTGAGGACGCGCCCATCATCTCTGCCAGCCGGGCACTGCCACCTCCAAGACTCTCCAGGTGAATGCGCGGCATTGCTATGTCTCTAAGTTACAAATGTAGGTGCCCTTCGCAATGCGCGAAGTGAGTTTGCAAACCAAGAATGCTCGAGAAGTCGCTGAGCCCAAAGGCAAGGACATCGTGAGCAACATGTTGAACCCTCAGTTGACAATGCGCTCCGCATAAACAACCCTAGGGCCCGATTTCTTGCTTTCATGCCTAGTCACTCGCACAAAGTGGCTGAGTCTTGCATCTCTGAGGCAACGACACGAGATGCAGCAACCTGCGAAAAGGCGTGACCCATCTGTGTCATAATCAAAACCTAGTATTAGAATCGTCTATCCTGACCCATGCTTCAAAAAAAAAGAGGCGGCTGCACCCATTTTTATGGCTGGGACTATCCCTTCATCAACCCAGGTTTTGAGCAAGTGGCTCATCTGACATGCTCCAAACCCTCCTCTTACCGCGCTTTGCCTTTCTTCGAAAGGAACCAGCTGCAGAACCCTGGCGAACTGCGCGCGCAACTGCGAGAGTTCCTCTTTTCCATGGCAACTTCGGGAACTCTGCACTTATGCCGATCACACTGGACTCTCAGTCCTCCTTCTTGGAGGTGGGGAACCAGAAGGTGGTGTCCTGCTGGCGGCGGCTCGGATCCCTGCGTCCCGGCATGGACACCTCGATGGCATCGCCCGTGCTCTGCATCCACTTCTGCAGGCCTGGGTCCAACACAACTTTGGCCAGGCCTTCCTGCTTGAGATCGGCAGCTGGGACGATCACGCGTTGGCCCAAATACTTCACCTCGTACTCCTCCGCTCCAAGATGTTCGCTGCCACCCAGGTAGGTGGCCAAAAAGGGCGTGTCTCCCGGCAGCCGCTCAATCTTCACGATCGCCCCGTGCGGGATCTGCGAACCGGAGCCGGTGTACACCACCCGCTCGGCCACCCGGAAACTTCTTTCACCACGGCAGGTGCCATGATAGCGCATGGACACCGGACTCTGCGGCCCAAGCTCAGCCACCGATGTCATCTGGAGCAGCTTCAGGGGTGCATCCCCATATGCGGTGTAGAAGTCGAAGCTCAATCTCTTCCACATCTGATAGGACTTCGTGTGCGAGTACTGTGAGCTGTCCATGTCAGCCTCTTCCAGCGCAAGCTTCCCGGCTGCCTCTGCCTCTGTCAAGGTCATGTTCTTCTCGCCCGCCATATCCAGCCCAACCATCTGGAAGGTGTCCGGCGTCTGGCCTGCGGGGCATTGCCAGGTGCACTTGTGCAGGCCATCAGCATCCAGCTCGTACTGCAGCTCGCCAGCGCAGAGCACTGGGCCACACTCCTCCAGGCTCACAGCAGCAAGCCCAAACTGTGAAACACCCTGCGCGCGGTTCAGGACCGCCATGGCCGCAACCCTGCGCACGAGCTTCATCCGGGTCGTCATGTCAGTCTTGTTGGCCCATTCGGTCCGCAACTCATCAAGATCCATGCCATCCTGCCAACGACAGGCACGCAACCCACCGCCAAAAAAGGAACAATCTCCATGGCTTGCCTGCCAAATGCCCGACCACAAACCCTGTCCTTCTCCGCCAGTTCTGGCAAGACTTGCTTCATCTTCTGCAGGCACTGTTGCAGCTTGGTTTCCTCTGTGTTGCCGAACTTGTGCCCGAAAAGCCACAGGCCGAACCTCTCTTTGGCGCTCATCTCTTTGGACCTGAGGATCTCTTGGAAGTCAGCGGAGCTGAACTTGGAAATGTCCAGCACGCTTGTCTTCTCCGGGGCATCCGCATCCATTGACTGCTGGCCTGGCTCACTCATCTGCTTCTGCATCCAGCTGCTTCTGCGGCGATCGTTACAACATACATCGAGGCAGCAGTGGATGCACATCATGCAGCAAAGAATATCGAGTATGCTGCACTCGTCCCCGGTGCCAGCCCCCAACCTTAGCCAATGCAAACAGCTCGCCCGGGTCGAGAAATCTGTTCAAGACCCATCTATCCAGGTCCGTCCATATCCCTGGTCTCTCCATGTGTGTCATCTCCCACCTAGCCTGTCCACGTCCCTGTCCGTCTCAACGCCGACCACCCGAACCATCTGAGCTCCCAGCTTCTCCTGGTATGCAGCCTGCACCGCCTCCGCCAACTCAGAGCTGATCCCCAGCGTCTGCTTGATGTCCACTTTTTGCTTCAGCATGGCCATCAGCGAGGACGACGACACTGAGGACGCGCCCATCATCTCTGCCAGCCGGGCACTGCCACCTCCAAGACTCTCCAGGTGAATGCGCGGCATTGCTATGTCTCTAAGTTACAAATGTAGGTGCCCTTCGCAATGCGCGAAGTGAGTTTGCAAACCAAGAATGCTCGAGAAGTCGCTGAGCCCAAAGGCAAGGACATCGTGAGCAACATGTTGAACCCTCAGTTGACAATGCGCTCCGCATAAACAACCCTAGGGCCCGATTTCTTGCTTTCATGCCTAGTCACTCGCACAAAGTGGCTGAGTCTTGCATCTCTGAGGCAACGACGCGAGATGCAGCAACCTGCGAAAAGGCGTGACCCATCTGTGTCATAATCAAAACCTGGTATTAGAATCGTCTATCCTGACCCATGCTTCAAAAAAAAAGAGGCGGCTGCACCCATTTTTATGGCTGGGACTATCCCTTCATCAACCCAGGTTTTGAGCAAGTGGCTCATCTGACATGCTCCAAACCCTCCTCTTACCGCGCTTTGCCTTTCTTCGAAAGGAACCAGCTGCAGAACGCTGGGCGAACTGCGCGCGCAACTGCGAGAGTTCCTCTTTTCCATGGCAACTTCGGGAACTCTGCACTTATGCCGATCACACTGGGCTCTCAGTCCTCCTTCTTGGAGGTGGGGAACCAGAAGGTGGTGTCCTGCTGGCGGCGGCTCGGATCCCTGCGTCCCGGCATGGACACCTCGATGGCATCGCCCGTGCTCTGCATCCACTTCTGCAGGCCTGGGTCCAACACAACTTTGGCCAGGCCTTCCTGCTTGAGATCGGCAGCTGGGACGATCACGCGCTGGCCCAAATACTTCACCTCGTACTCCTCCGCTCCAAGATGTTCGCTGCCACCCAGGTAGGTGGCCAAAAAGGGCGTGTCCCCCGGCAGCCGCTCAATCTTCACTATCGCCCCGTGCGGGATCTGCGAACCGGAGCCGGTGTACACCACCCGCTCGGCCACCCGGAAACTTCTTTCACCACGGCAGGTGCCATGATAGCGCATGGACACCGGAAGCTGCGGCCCAAGCTCAGCCACCGATGTCATCTGGAGCAGCTTCAGGGGTGCATCCCCATATGCGGTGTAGAAGTCGAAGCTCAATCCCTTCCACATCTGATAGGACTTCGAGTGCGAGTACTGAGAGCTGTCCATGTCAGCCTCTTCCAGCGCAAGCTTCCCGGCTGCCTCTGCCTCTGTCAAGGACATGTTCTTCTCGCCCGCCATATCCAGCCCAACCATCTGGAAGGTGTCCGGCGTCTGGCCTGCGGGGCATTGCCAGGTGCACTTGTGCAGGCCATCAGCATCCAGCTCGTACTGCAGCTCGCCAGCGCAGAGCACTGGGCCACACTCCTCCAGGCTCACAGCAGCAAGCCCAAACTGTGAAACACCCTGCGCGCGGTTCAGGACCGCCATGGCCGCAACCCTGCGCACGAGCTTCATCCGGGTCGTCATGTCAGTCTTGTTGGCCCATTCGGTCCGCAACTCATCAAGATCCATGCCATCCTGCCAACGACAGGCACGCAACCCACCGCCAAAAAAGGAACGATCTCACATGGCTTGCCTGCCAAATGCCCGACCACAAACCCTGTCCTTCTCCGCCAGTTCTGGCAAGACTTGCTTCATCTTCTGCAGGCACTGTTGCAGCTTGGTTTCCTCTGTGTTGCCGAACTTGTGCCCGAAAAGCCACAGGCCGAACCTCTCTTTGGCGCTCATCTCTTTGGACCTGAGGATCTCTTGGAAGTCAGCGGAGCTGAACTTGGAAATGTCCAGCACGCTTGTCTTCTCCGGGGCATCCGCATCCATTGACTGCTGGCCTGGCTCACTCATCTGCTTCTGCATCCAGCTGCTTCTGCGGCGATCGTTACAACATACATCGAGGCCGCAGTGGATGCACATCATGCAGCAAAGAATATCGAGTATGCTGCACTCGTCCCCGGTGCCAGCCCCCAACCTTAGCCAATGCAAACAGCTCGCCCGGGTCGAGAAATCTGTTCAAGACCCATCTATCCAGGTCCGTCCATATCCCTGGTCTCTCCATGTGTGTCATCTCCCACCTAGCCTGTCCACGTCCCTGTCCGTCTCAACGCCGACCACCCGAACCATCTGAGCTCCCAGCTTCTCCTGGTATGCAGCCTGCACCGCCTCCGCCAACTCAGAGCTGATCCCCAGCGTCTGCTTGATGTCCACTTTTTGCTTCAGCATGGCCATCAGCGAGGACGACGACACTGAGGACGCGCCCATCATCTCTGCCAGCCGGGCACTGCCACCTCCAAGACTCTCCAGGTGAATGCGCGGCATTGCTATGTCTCTAAGTTACAAATGTAGGTGCCCTTCGCAATGCGCGAAGTGAGTTTGCAAACCAAGAATGCTCGAGAAGTCGCTGAGCCCAAAGGCAAGGACATCGTGAGCAACATGTTGAACCCTCAGTTGACAATGCGCTCCGCATGAACAACCCTAGGGCCCGATTTCTTGCTTTCATGCCTAGTCACTCGCACAAAGTGGCTGAGTCTTGCATCTCTGAGGCAACGACACGAGATGCAGCAACCTGCGAAAAGGCGTGACCTATCTGTGTCATAATCAAAACCTGGTATTAGAATCGTCTATCCTGACCCATGCTTCAAAAAAAAAGAGGCGGCTGCACCCATTTTTATGGCTGGGACTATCCCTTCATCAACCCAGGTTTTGAGCAAGTGGCTCATCTGACATGCTCCAAACCCTCCTCTTACCGCGCTTTGCCTTTCTTCGAAAGGAACCAGCTGCAGAACGCTGGGCGAACTGCGCGCGCAACTGCGAGAGTTCCTCTTTTCCATGGCAACTTCGGGAACTCTGCACTTATGCCGATCACACTGGGCTCTCAGTCCTCCTTCTTGGAGGTGGGGAACCAGAAGGTGGTGTCCTGCTGGCGGCGGCTCGGATCCCTGCGTCCCGGCATGGACACCTCGATGGCATCGCCCGTGCTCTGCATCCACTTCTGCAGGCCTGGGTCCAACACAACTTTGGCCAGGCCTTCCTGCTTGAGATCGGCAGCTGGGACGATCACGCGCTGGCCCAAATACTTCACCTCGTACTCCTCCGCTCCAAGATGTTCGCTGCCACCCAGGTAGGTGGCCAAAAAGGGCGTGTCCCCCGGCAGCCGCTCAATCTTCACTATCGCCCCGTGCGGGATCTGCGAACCGGAGCCGGTGTACACCACCCGCTCGGCCACCCGGAAACTTCTTTCACCACGGCAGGTGCCATGATAGCGCATGGACACCGGAAGCTGCGGCCCAAGCTCAGCCACCGATGTCATCTGGAGCAGCTTCAGGGGTGCATCCCCATATGCGGTGTAGAAGTCGAAGCTCAATCCCTTCCACATCTGATAGGACTTCGAGTGCGAGTACTGAGAGCTGTCCATGTCAGCCTCTTCCAGCGCAAGCTTCCCGGCTGCCTCTGCCTCTGTCAAGGACATGTTCTTCTCGCCCGCCATATCCAGCCCAACCATCTGGAAGGTGTCCGGCGTCTGGCCTGCGGGGCATTGCCAGGTGCACTTGTGCAGGCCATCAGCATCCAGCTCGTACTGCAGCTCGCCAGCGCAGAGCACTGGGCCACACTCCTCCAGGCTCACAGCAGCAAGCCCAAACTGTGAAACACCCTGCGCGCGGTTCAGGACCGCCATGGCCGCAACCCTGCGCACGAGCTTCATCCGGGTCGTCATGTCAGTCTTGTTGGCCCATTCGGTCCGCAACTCATCAAGATCCATGCCATCCTGCCAACGACAGGCACGCAACCCACCGCCAAAAAAGGAACGATCTCACATGGCTTGCCTGCCAAATGCCCGACCACAAACCCTGTCCTTCTCCGCCAGTTCTGGCAAGACTTGCTTCATCTTCTGCAGGCACTGTTGCAGCTTGGTTTCCTCTGTGTTGCCGAACTTGTGCCCGAAAAGCCACAGGCCGAACCTCTCTTTGGCGCTCATCTCTTTGGACCTGAGGATCTCTTGGAAGTCAGCGGAGCTGAACTTGGAAATGTCCAGCACGCTTGTCTTCTCCGGGGCATCCGCATCCATTGACTGCTGGCCTGGCTCACTCATCTGCTTCTGCATCCAGCTGCTTCTGCGGCGATCGTTACAACATACATCGAGGCCGCAGTGGATGCACATCATGCAGCAAAGAATATCGAGTATGCTGCACTCGTCCCCGGTGCCAGCCCCCAACCTTAGCCAATGCAAACAGCTCGCCCGGGTCGAGAAATCTGTTCAAGACCCATCTATCCAGGTCCGTCCATATGCCTGGTCTCTCCATGTGTGTCATCTCCCACCTAGCCTGTCCACGTCCCTGTCCGTCCCAACGCCGACCACCCGAACCATCTGAGCTCCCAGCTTCTCCTGGTATGCAGCCTGCACCGCCTCCGCCAACTCAGAGCTGATCCCCAGCGTCTGCTTGATGTCCACTTTTTGCTTCAGCATGGCCATCAGCGAGGACGACGACACTGAGGACGCGCCCATCATCTCTGCCAGCCGGGCACTGCCACCTCCAAGACTCTCCAGGTGAATGCGCGGCATTGCTATGTCTCTAAGTTACAAATGTAGGTGCCCTTCGCAATGCGCGAAGTGAGTTCGCAAACCAAGAATGCTCGAGAAGTCGCTGAGCCCAAAGGCAAGGACATCGTGAGCAACATGTTGAACCCTCAGTTGACAATGCGCTCCGCATGAACAACCCTAGGGCCCGATTTCTTGCTTTCATGCCTAGTCACTCGCACAAAGTGGCTGAGTCTTGCATCTCTGAGGCAACGACACGAGATGCAGCAACCTGCGAAAAGGCGTGACCTATCTGTGTCATAATCAAAACCTGGTATTAGAATCGTCTATCCTGACCCATGCTTCAAAAAAAAGAGGCGGCTGCACCCATTTTTATGGCTGGGACTATCCCTTCATCAACCCGGGTTTTGAGCAAGTGGCTCATCTGACATGCTCCAAACCCTCCTCTTACCGCGCTTTGCCTTTCTTCGAAAGGAACCAGCTGCAGAACGCTGGGCGAACTGCGCGCGCAACTGCGAGAGTTCCTCTTTTCCATGGCAACTTCGGGAACTCTGCACTTATGCCGATCACACTGGACTCTCAGTCCTCCTTCTTGGAGGTGGGGAACCAGAAGGTGGTGTCCTGCTGGCGGCGGCTCGGATCCCTGCGTCCCGGCATGGACACCTCGATGGCCTCGCCCGTGCTCTGCATCCACTTCTGCAGGCCTGGGTCCAACACAACTTTGGCCAGGCCTTCCTGCGTGAGATCGGCAGCTGGGACGATCACGCGCTGGCCCAAATACTTCACCTCGTACTCCTCCGCTCCAAGATGTTCGCTGCCACCCAGGTAGGTGGCCAAAAAGGGCGTGTCTCCCGGCAGCCGCTCAATCTTCACGATCGCCCCGTGCGGGATCTGCGAACCGGAGCCGGTGTACACCACCCGCTCGGCCACCCGGAAACTTCTTTCACCACGGCAGGTGCCATGATAGCGCATGGACACCGGAAGCTGCGGCCCAAGCTCAGCCACCGATGTCATCTGGAGCAGCTTCAGGGGTGCATCCCCATATGCGGTGTAGAAGTCGAAGCTCAATCCCTTCCACATCTGATAGGACTTCGTGTGCGAGTACTGTGAGCTGTCCATGTCAGCCTCTTCCAGCGCAAGCTTCCCGGCTGCCTCTGCCTCTGTCAAGGTCATGTTCTTCTCGCCCGCCATATCCAGCCCAACCATCTGGAAGGTGTCCGGCGTCTGGCCTGCGGGGCATTGCCAGGTGCACTTGTGCAGGCCATCAGCATCCAGCTCGTACTGCAGCTCGCCAGCGCAGAGCACTGGGCCACACTCCTCCAGGCTCACAGCAGCAAGCCCAAACTGTGAAACACCCTGCGCGCGGTTCAGGACCGCCATGGCCGCAACCCTGCGCACGAGCTTCATCCGGGTCGTCATGTCAGTCTTGTTGGCCCATTCGGTCCGCAACTCATCAAGATCCATGCCATCCTGCCAACGACAGGCACGCAACCCACCGCCAAAAAAGGAACAATCTCACATGGCTTGCCTGCCAAATGCCCGACCACAAACCCTGTCCTTCTCCGCCAGTTCTGGCAAGACTTGCTTCATCTTCTGCAGGCACTGTTGCAGCTTGGTTTTCTCTGTGTTGCCGAACTTGTGCCCGAAAAGCCACAGGCCGAACCTCTCTTTGGCGCTCATCTCTTTGGACCTGAGGATCTCTTGGAAGTCAGCGGAGCTGAACTTGGAAATGTCCAGCACGCTTGTCTTCTCCGGGGCATCCGCATCCATTGACTGCTGGCCTGGCTCACTCATCTGCTTCTGCATCCAGCTGCTTCTGCGGCGATCGTTACAACATACATCGAGGCAGCAGTGGATGCACATCATGCAGCAAAGAATATCGAGTATGCTGCACTCGTCCCCGGTGCCAGCCCCCAACCTTAGCCAATGCAAACAGCTCGCCCGGGTCGAGAAATCTGTTCAAGACCCATCTATCCAGGTCCGTCCATATCCCTGGTCTCTCCATGTGTGTCATCTCCCACCTAGCCTGTCCACGTCCCTGTCCGTCCCAACGCCGACCACCCGAACCATCTGAGCTCCCAGCTTCTCCTGGTATGCAGCCTGCACCGCCTCCGCCAACTCGGAGCTGATCCCCAGCGTCTGCTTGATGTCCACTTTTTGCTTCAGCATGGCCATCAGCGAGGACGACGACACTGAGGACGCGCCCATCATCTCTGCCAGCCGGGCACTGCCACCTCCAAGACTCTCCAGGTGAATGCGCGGCATTGCTATGTCCCTAAGTTACAAATGTAGGTGCCCTTCGCAATGCGCGAAGTGAGTTTGCAAACCAAGAATGCTCGAGAAGTCGCTGAGCCCAAAGGCAAGGATATCGTGAGCAACGTGTTGAACCCTCAGTTGACAATGCGCTCCGCATAAACAACCCTAGGGCCCGATTTTTTGCTTTCATGCCTAGTCACTCGCACAAAGTGGCTGAGTCTTGCATCTCTGAGGCAACGACACGAGATGCAGCAACCTGCGAAAAGGCGTGACCCATCTGTGTCATAGTCAAAACCTGGTATTAGAATCGTCTATCCTGACCCATGCTTCAAAAAATAAAAGGCGGCTGCACCCATTTTTATGGCTGGGACTGTCCCTTAAGCTTCATCAACCCAGGTTTTGAGCAAGTGGCTCATCTGACATGCCCTCGCACCACGCTTTGCCTTGACTCTCCGCGCTTTGCCTTTCTTCGAAAGGAACCAGCTGCAGAACGATGGGCCTCTCTCCCCTCCGCTTGAGGGAAAGGATGGCACAGGCTCCGCTCCACAGCTCACTTCAGCAAAGCGGCGGGGAATAACGTGCTTTGCGCCAAACGAGGCGATTCTCGAAAAACAAAAGATCGGATTCTCCAAAAGGAAGAAAGACCGACCTCAGGTCGCTTCCTCGAATGTCCAGGGTCAGCAGGGTCAGCAGGGTCAGCGGGGTCAGCGGGGGTCAACCGGGGTCCGTCCATGCGCAGCGCGGCTGAGGCGGCACATCGCGGTGGAGCCGTCCGGGGTCCTCGAACCATTTCTGGGCACCCCTTGTGAAGCGAAAGGAGGAAAGCGCCAAAACAACCGGGATGATGCCTTTTGACACATCGGGTTTTTCTTTTCGACTCACCTGGTGGGGGCCTAAGACCGGGATCCCCGAGACGCCTTCAGTCGCGCTCCAATCCGAGCCGGGCGACGAGATCTAGGACTCCTCCGTTAGCAGCCAGCCGCTTCGACCGCTTCGCTCTCGGCCTACCACCCCCGAAAAAAACACCCAGCACCTGCGACCCTAATGTTGACCCCGGATTAATCAACCCCTGTTTATTGATGTGGGGGTGTCCCTGGTTTTGGTGGGGATTTATCACTTTTGGAGGGGAACACCGGGAACACCCCAATATTAGTAAACAGGGGTTGATTGATCCGGGGTCAACATTAGGCTCTGCCATGCGCTTTGCCCCGCCTTCCCTCAAGGTGCCAGCGGCACCTGCCGCAAAGCAAGGGATGCGACGGATGAGTTCTGCCCGCTCTGAACATAGGATGTTCACCACCGCTTAGTTCTTGGATCACACATCCCGACAACCCATGGCAGTCTGAGTGAATGTGTTCAAAGTTGATCGACCGGCAAAGGTGCATAATTGAAAGTGCGCAGTGTGTTTTCCTGATTGCAAGAAAGATGGCGCTTGCAAACTTGCAATGGCTGGAGCACGTCTTGCATGAGAAGAAACTCGAACTCCGATGGAGCATGGCTGGGAAATCATTGCTTTCAACATCTCTGTGGTTGGCAAGCTGACCATCGAAAACCACCCCAGAAAAACAGGAACGAAACGCCTGGTGGGTACCTCAGCATGCCAACAAGGGTGCACTCAAACATGCATTCGGCAAAAAAAACGACGGAATAGCAAGTCGAAGCTCCCGTGCCTTGCTGGTGGATGCCGGCAAGGATAAGAAGCACCTTGGTAGCAAGTCGCTAGCTGACCTCGAATGGCTCCCACTGTCGCTACACGTAGAAACACTGGACTCGAATCACACTTGGCCATGGGTCAAAAGCCAAATCGTACCCCCAGTGAACATCCTCCCCACTAAACTAGACTAAAATGAGTGGTGCACCTACCCCAAAATGGTACCATTGGTCTTGGCCCACGGCCCTTTGGCGCGTGGCTTCCGTTTGCCGCAATTGTATCACAGGACGGCGGCCCGATTGCTTGACAATCACGACCCAATCCCTTGTCTGAACGGATGGCAATTCTTTGCATCGGCAAAAGTGACGGTGCGAAAGGAAGGGAAGCTGCTTGGTTTCTTGGGTCAACAATATGCGCGACTGCATGGTTCCTATTATGTAGACATTCCTGCACACAAGACTAACGTATGTATAGATAGATCTTCATGCAGAAGTCAGGCCGCCACCCAGCCCACACTGGATGTAGTTTGGAAAAGGCCGGACCATGTCATGTGATGTTTTAGTTGGTACCTGCTCAAGAAACCAGACGAAGCACTCTACATGAGGATGTGCCAGCAGTGATTTATGAATGCCGAGGGACAAAGCTACCTTCCGAAAGCCACTACTCACACCTGAACGGAAGATGTACGTGAATGTGGTTAAGTCAACTTTGGCAACTCCATCGGAACGTGAATCGTAGACTTTCTGCAGCGAAGTGTTCAAGAGCTGGCGGCAAGATCATTACATGTTCGAGCAAGCGCCGCGGATCTTGCACCAAACATTGCTGGAATCTTGTTTACATGTGCGGCTCAGTTGTGACTCAAAAGGCTACACCATTTGTTCAGGCAAGGTCTGGACTTTCTCTATGCCTAATTAGTAGGCACGGTCCGGTCTGCAAAGCTAAGCGGGCGCTTTGCAGGGGGGTTCCTGACCAAGGGCCCCTGACACAGGTGTGGGGCACGCATCTTCTTGTGCGAAGTTCGCAGAGCATTCCCGAAGGCTAATGCATAAAATGGCTCCCAAACACACGAATACCCGAATTTCGGTCGACTCACACCAAATTCACACAAGCATACCCCACCGCGCGAAAAGCAGACGGCAACATGCAAGCTGCTGTCCACATGTTGGCTCCAAAATCTTGGGGTGTGTTTTGTAAAGGCCCCCCTTTTTGGATCCTTTGGGTTGGTTTTGAAGGGAAGCCAAAAGGAACCACCGCATGGTTTTGGGGTCCCGGATTGTAAGAACCCCGCCCCCTTTGCTTTGTTTCCTACGAGATCTTGCGCCGTGGCGCCAGGGCCAGGCAAAGGCATCCCAGCGCACTTGTGGCCTCTGCAGTGAAGGGATCTCGTTTGGCCGAAGCTGCGGCTCTCATGCTCTTGCGTGTCTTCCATGCATAATTTTCGGCATATATGTTATACAATGCACCAAAATCCACGAAACTGTCCTCCTTTGTTTCTTCCTTCCTGCACTCCCCTCCCTCACTTTCGCCACGTGCCTGGTGAGCCTCGGATTTCCCTCGGATTTCCCGGAATGGTATCAGTTGCGCCCCACGTCATCCGCCCACCCCCCTCGCGCCCGCTGCCTCGTCGAACCCTCCCAGGCCGCCATGCTCCTGGACCAGCAGAACTCTAGGGTCACGCCGATGCCACGCAAGGGCGCACTGGTCCTCCCATGCCTCTGTGAAGTTGCCTGCCAAACACGATGGGAGAGCTGGATACCATCACTTGAGGAAACGACTGGCCTACACTGAAAACTTTCAACACAAAGCCGTCAGACTGACTCTAAACATGGACTTGGAGGCGAAAACATCGCCTAAACCTTCGTTGACCTTGACGCATCGCACGCGCAAGCAACCAGGGAGATCGTGTGAAGCCCTGCAACCAAGCTACTCGATGTGCGGCCACTGCCATTCACTGCGGCCGTCGCCCAAGATCGATAGAAGTCCTTACGAGTGGGGCATTTGAGTGAGCACTTCTCTCGCGAATTCGCCAGCCCTCGCGAATTCGCCAGTGCGAGCGTCATTCCACAAGAAGTTGCAAATCTGGCGCGGCAGCATCCTGTTCGACGCATTGTGTCCTTAGCTGACTCTGGGATGACAGCAGGCCTTGGGGAGGAAGCACCCCTACCTTGACGCCACATTCACAAGCGATGCAGGTCCCAACGCCCACACTGACGATGATCCCCACTGACCAGGAACCAAAACCGACCTGACTTGTGATTCCCCACGAAGATGGATGCCATTCCAGCACATCTCCGTAAACCTAAGGTAGAACTACTAAAGTCCTAGCCGTCCAGAAAACCCGCAAGGGGATCTATGGCCAACCCTTCGCAGCGCCGGGAAGTGGATCCATCCGAGCCGATTCCAACCGCCGAGCCCGGCGCGGGGATCGTAGCAAGCAGGGCAGAGATGCCTGGAGGGCCACTGCGCAGGGCTGCGGCCTGGGCCCGGCCAGGGGCTGTCCTGGTCACTTTGGATTTAGCCGAGGGTGGCTTCTAGGAATGGTTTATGCAGACAGAGACTTAGGAGGGGGGGGGAGTTGGTTAGGACAGGGATGTAGGGAGGGGAACAAACAGTGGTTGAAGGGTTGAGTACCCAGGGTCGAGGTCCCGAGTCGCTTTGGAGGCTGCCTTTCACCTAAAAGAAAAAAGGCCTTTTGGGGCGATCAGCCTAACCGGTGGTTTGGAGGTCAGGGGCGGTGTCCCCCTTTACCCTCTACAAGAATCAGGGGTTCAAATCCAAGTCCGAACCACCAATCCAACCCACCAACTACGCGTTTCCTGACATGATGTCGACCCCATTTTCTCAACCACCCTTCTCCTGTGCGATTCCGGAGCTGAGCCTCAGTGCACGCAGAATGCGCCTTGCGCGGCGCGAGACGGCCTAAACGTGGCCCTGGCTTGGCGTTGATGCCACTGTGGACGCTCCACAGCCAAAGGGAAGCTTGACATGGTGCCTTCACCTGCGCGACCGCCCTGCGGGTTTAACATGGTCAACGCGGACTTTGGACACTGCTCACCGGCACTGAGAGGTCTGTGAAAACCTCTCCAAGTCAGGCCTTCTCCTTGTCGATTTTGTACTGGAGGAAGCCTAAGTCAAAACTACGTCGCTGAACAACAGGCCGGACTCGACAGGCCACCGATAATCACGTTCGAATAATACGACTCTGCAAGACATGCAGACATGCATGAAGCTAGCTGAGCCCATCACGCACTCTACATTCATCACAACGCCTCATATCTTTCTCTTTGAGCTAAAAGTAACAATTCATCCTGCTCTCTCCTCGCGCGATTCGTCCCTCCCTCTCACGCCCTTTCTTCCGCTTCCCTCCCTCGCTGAGCGCGGCACCAGAAGAGCGCGATGACCCGCTGGAAGATGAGCAGCGCCTGTCCCGGGTGCATGTTGCGGGCGGTCAGGTCCTCGTCCTCCTGCACGGCCACGAACCTCGGCATCGCTCGCCGCGAGGGCCGGCGGCCGGGCACATGCGGCGAGCGGAAGGAAGACCACGGAGGTGACCAGGAAGAGCCGAGGCACGGGAAATCCTCGAAATGAAGCTGGAAATCCACATCCAGGCACCTGGCGAGACTCCGGTGGAATGCTTCCCAAGGCCCACTTCAGCTAAGTCCTTCCCCGTGGCAATCAGCGCAATCACCACTGCAGCGTCCGCCTGGCGCCGCGCGGGCAGAAGGACTGGTTCTCCACGCCATGCACGACGTTGCGGAAAAGGCTGGCCTTCCAGACCGCGGAAGGCGGGGACAAGACAAGCCAATCGTCCCAAGCCGATCGGAAGGACAAATGGTCATAATCCCAGAACCTTGCTTCAAGGATTGACGTACTGCCCGGGTTTTGAGCAAGTGGCTCGAATCAGCGCGTCCCCGCCTCTGAGCACGGGACAAGGCCCATCCCGACATCTTCGCTCCAAAAGAACCACTTCCTGGCGCATGGCGAGGTTCCATGCAGAGGTGCCCCTTTGGCAACGAGGCCCAGGCTTGCGATAGATGCGCCCGACCTAGCGCAAAACCAAGCGCAAGGCGGGTTTTTCTTGGATCGACTTTAGAATGCGAGGCCGCAGCGCAGGCAGCTCCAGAGGCATTGGAAACATCAACCAGGCGCCTGAGCTGAAACTGTGCCAAAGCATCAAGGAACTCCATGCTGCACAGGCTCCCCCAGGAAACGTTGCCAGCCGGATCAGACTCCTTGGCTTGTGTTGCATTCAAGGCCTCCATTCCCTTGCCTGCGCTGGGCGCCGCAAGCGTGCAAGGCCTAGCGACGTCCAAAGTTTCAGGCAGGCGTCCGCCTCAACCCGCTCGAATCGGAATTTGGAGCACCTCTGATGGCAAATCCTCAGGAGTGCCC